GATTAGATGAAGAGTGTGATGGGTCTAATGGTGGAACAACTCCGAAGTAGCTCATAATGATACCATAAAAGAAGTAGAAAAAAATTGTCAGCTATTGGAACCCTAAGGTGCCTTTTGTCATTGAAATTATTTAGATTGTTGTTAGAAAGGTGTTTAGTCGATATAAAAAATGTTCTATGAATAATGACTGATCATTGTTTTCAGGCAACCGAATCATATGCTCCTGATATTTATTTGTTACTTATATTTGAGACAAAACTGAAGACTCTTAAAAACTTAACATGAAATTAATTGATTTGAAAGCCGCAATTCATAAGAGGCTTGTGCTGGCATAAGAGACATTCAGATTGATCTAATCAAAACTCTTGGTTCAATATCCACATAAAAGAAATTGCATTATGTGGGGTACAGAGAATAAAAATTGAGTTTGAAACATGCTATGAAATCTTAACCAAACATGCCAACTACATTTAAAGAATTCATTAACTTCAGCCACAGGATCTGAACTGCATTAGTTGGTTCAAAGAAAGTTATAGTTTTCACAATTATTTCTACGATTGAAACCAATTAAAGTTACTAATTTTTTAGTTCAACTGTTGGAAACAATATCACATAGTGAATCCTATTAGGAAAATGGGGTCCAGTCTCATGTAAGTGGTTTTGAACCAAGTAAAGGTCATGAGCCTTGATCTTTTATTTTACACAGAGCCCTAGCTACTTAATAAAAAAAAAGTGGGGTTGTTTTAGGTGTATGTCAAAAACCAAGCAGAGAAAGAAGAAAAGCCAGGAAAAGCAGAGAGAGAAAAAGGAGAAGGGAGAGTTGGTTGAACGGAAGTCGATTCGTGGTCCGATTGAGTTAGAACCTTGCCAGGAAGTTTATGATTCAGAGTTCTACATTCTGAACAGTGAAGATCGAGTTTGAAGCTCTCTATGAACAAATCCAAGGTGTATTTGTTGAGTCACTTATTTGGTGAGATTTCTCCAATTATTTCTCTAGTTGTTGATTAGCTCTAGTTTTAGCTAGAGAAGAACTTTGTATAACTATTATTTGATAGTGAAGATTTTTCTGGTGGCCCGTGGTTTTTTTTTCCTCTACACTAGAGGGTTTTCCACGTAAATCTTGGTGTGCTTTATTTTTCCTACGTATTTGATTATTGATTGCTGTCTATTGCTTCTGTATTGTTATGATTATTGCTTCAGGCGCAACAAGTGGTATCAGAGCGAGGGTTATTTTGAGACATCGATACAGAAGCAACCCATGATAAAAGTAAATTCTTTTTGAGATCATGGAGGGTGATACAGGTTCCATGATAAAATTGACAGCAAAATTATTCAATTTGAAAGCCTATGATGGAGGATCATCTATACTGCAAAGATTTGTACTAGCCAGTATTGGGTGATTCGACTAAACCAATAGATATGAAAGATGAAAGCTGGAAGAAGCTAGGTAGAAAGACGCTGGCTATAATAAAAAAATGGGTTGATATCAGCGTGTTTTACCATGTAGCGCAGGAATCAGATGCTCACATTGTTTGGGAAAAATTGACAGCATTGTATGAGAGAAAAACATGTATGAATAAAGTTATGCTTGTTAAAAAGATTACAACTTTACAGTACAGGGATGGACGATCTGTTACAGAGCACTTGAATGATTTTCAAGATATATTTAATCGGATGACTACTATGAAGCTTAAGATGGATGAGGAAATGAAGGCATTATTTCTTTTGGGTTCATTGTCAGACAGCGGGAATACTCTAGTTGTGACTGTTCTTAATTCAGCTCCTGATTATAAGGTAACATTGGAGATGGTAAAGGACAATATGCTTAATGAAGAAGCAAGGTAAAAAGATGTAGACCTTGGGAATCAAGCTCTAGTCACAGAGAACATGGGTAAAAAAATCGACAGAGGTCAGGACTCAAAAGGCCGTGGTAAGTCTAAACATAGATCCAAGTTTAGAGGTAAAGTGAAATGTTTTCATTGTGGTAAGGCGGGTCATATAAAACGAAACTGTAAAGTCTTAAAGCAAGAGCGAAAAGATGAGAAAGACAAGAGTTCAGATGATGGCAATGTTGTAGCAGTGAATTCAGATAGTGATTCAGTTACTTTGATTTGTACACATGGTGATTGTAATCATGTTAGTGATCTCGGCATTGAGTGGATAGTTGACATAGGAGCGGCATATCATTGTGTTCCTAAGAGAGAGTTGTTTACAACTTACAAAGCAGGAGACTTTGGTTGTACCAAGATGGAAAACAAGAGTGTGTCACAGATTATTGAGATTGGTGATATTATTGTACAAACTAGTACAGACTCCATGTTGACTTTGAGGGATGTCAGACACATTTCAGATATGAGAATGAACTTGCTTGCTATTAATGTCCTTGATAAGGAGAGATATGAAAGCCGACAAAAGAATGGATAATGGAAGCTTCTCAAAGGATCTATGATAGTTGCAAGGGGAAAACTATGCTGCACAATGTATAAGACATGGATGTAATTGAACGGTAACCAGGTAAATACCGTTGAAAATGATGCTTCAGCAAACTTGTGGCACATGAGGCTGGCACACATGAGTGAAAAAGGGTTACAGGTTTTGGCAAGGCAGTCTCTCATTCCCTTGACCAAATGTATGTCTCTTGATTCATGTGATTATTGTTTGTTTGGTAAGCATCATAGAGTTTTTTTCGTAAAAGTTCTCAGAGAAAAAAAATATATTAGAATTAATTTATTCTGACGTATGTGGTCCCATTGAGGTTGAGCCATTAGGTGGTAGCAGATATTTTGTTACTTTTATTGATGATGCTTCACGTAAGACTTGGGTGTATATGTTGAAATACAAAAGTCAGGTAGTACAATATTTTTAAAAATTTCATGCCATGATTGAGAGGATGACAGGGTTACCCTTGAAGTGTATTTGAATTGATAATGGTAGGAAATACACATCTAAAGACTTTGAAGAGTATTGCTCAAAGCATGGGATCAGGCATGAGAGGACAGAACTTGAAACACCGCAGCATAATGGTATAGCTGAAAGAATGAATCGCACCATTATGAAAAAAGTCAGATGTATGTTGAGGATGACAAAATTATCAAAGCCATTTTGGGGTGAAGCAGTCAACACAGCTTGTTGTTTACTTAATAGGTCACCATCAGTTCCTTTGGGCTTTGACATTCCAGAAAGAGTATGGACAGGGAAAGATACTTCATACTCTTATTTGAAAGTTTTTGGGTGTAAAGCATTCATGCATATGCTGAAAGAGCAGAGATCAAAGTTTGACAGTAAAGCTACACAGTGTGTGTTTGTAGGATATGGTGATGAGGAATTTGGCTACAGGGTATGGGATCCAGTAAAGAGAAAGACAGTCAGAAGCAAGGATGTGATCTTTCATGAAAAAAAAATCATAGCAGACTTTGAGAAAAATAAGAAGACTACACATGTTACTATTGAGTGTGATGTTTCAACACCGACAGAGATTTCACAGGAAAGAGTCACAGATGGTGAAAATGAGCAAGAAACAGAACTTGAGGATATGAATGAACCAGCTACAGTTGGTGATGAGCCAGATGCTATTAGTTTTGAGCAGGGGGAGCAATCCTCTCTACCTGAGAGTGTTGAGTAGGGGGAGCTACCTTCGGCAACAAGTGATGTAGAGTCTCAGCCCAGGAGATCTACTAGAGAGTGCAGGTCATCTACCAGGTATCTAAGTTCAGATTTTATTTTAGTTACCAGTGAAGGGGAGCTAGAAAGCTTCCAAGATGTGCAGGCTACTTCGGATAGAGAGCACTGGTTAAAAGCAATGAAAGAAGAGATGGAGTCATTGCGAAAGAATGGTACTTATGATCTTGTTAAACTTCCTAGCGAAAAGCTTGAGCTTTGCAGTAACTTGGTCGGAATGAATTCTCTGGCCAAGGTAAGTTCCAAATGAAACTGCTATGGTGATGAATCTCCTCCTAATGGGGCTGGAGGGAGAGATTGTTAGGAAAATGGGGTCCAGTCCCATGTAAGTGGTTTTGGACCAAGTAAAGGCCATGGGCCTTGATCTTTTATTTTACACAGAACCCTACCTACTTAATAAAAAAGATGTTGGGTTGTTTTAGGTGTGTGTCGAAAACCAAGCAGAGAAAGAAGAAAAGCCAGGAAAAGCAGAGAGAGAAAAATGAGAAGGGAGAGTTAGTTGAACGGAAGCTCTCTAGGAACAAATCCAGGGTGTATTTGTTGAGTCACTTATTTGGTGAGATTTCTCCAATTATTTCTCTAGTTGTTGATTAGCTCTAGTTTTAGCTAGAGAAGAACTTTGTATAACTATTATTTGATAGTGAAGATTTTTCTGGTGGCCCGTGGTTTTTTTTTCCTCTACACTGGAGGGTTTTTCACGTAAATCTTGGTGTGCTTTATTTTTTCTGCGTATTTGATTATTGATTGTTGTCTATTGCTTCTATATTGTTGTGATTATTGTTTCGGGCGCAACAAATCCATGATGCCATAGATGTTTACTGTTCCTTTTTCTGATGAGCTTACATATGCAGGCAATTCCAAAAGTACATATCGAATGTACTGTAGTTTTTCTTCTCCTGTCATTTTTTTTCTCATTAGAATTTCTATATCTTGTCTAATTCTAAGTGAATTTATCAGATAAATGCTTAAATTAGGCTTTGTTAAGAGCAGTAATTTGTAATGATGATCACAGATAAACCAGGATGACGGTGTCTTAATGAATTTAAGGCAGACAAACACGTCTAACTGAAAAGGACTGTTTATTGAAGCCAAGAAATCGCTTAATCACATGACTGGTCTTCCAATTAACTCAGGCAAGCGACCATGTCCTTTTCAATTTTTTTTTTTCTTCGACTTAGCTCTTTCAATGGAATTCAATTATTTCTCACCCTAGGGGCTCTAGACCAGAGTCTTAAGCACGTCTATAAATAGATGGAGTTAGGACGCAAAATGATATCCAACCAAAAAACAGTACATATATTAAACCACATTGCCTGATTGCCAATAGTAACTTAGAACAAACTTGCAAAACATTGTCAATGGCTAAGCTTAGGAGTAGCAGCAAGAAGAAGAATGGAATTGTGAAGCTCAAGATTATTGTAGAGAAGCTGCACAAGGGTCTTTTTTTAGGAAGGAAATGGAACTCGTTTAACGACGAACGTGATGAAATTCATGACTCCACCTATGTGCCTGAAGATGTAAAAAAAGGACATTTTGCTGTGGTTGCGGAGTATGGTAAGGAACCAAGGAGATTTGTGGTTCCATTGAGTTATTTGACACATCCGAAGTTTTTAATGCTATTGGAGCAAGCAGCAGAGGAGTATGGATTCAATCGCGAGGGAGCCCTGACAATTCCTTGCCGTCCAAGTGAGCTTGAGAGGATATTAGCCGAGCAATGGCAAGAAGCGGACTCAAATGCTAATGTCAACTGGGGTGCCTGTGAAGCCACGATACAAAGCTATCGAAACAGAAAAGGAGCTACAGGCTTCGATATTAATATATATAGCTTGATGAATTTTCCACCCCCTAGTAGTTATTGATCTTCCTTGTAGACTCCGTGAATTGTTTTCTGATCATCTCCTTTTTCAATTCATGTTTTGTACTAATTCTATCGGGGCAACTAAATGAAATAATTAAAAGAGAAAATCTTGCTTATTTGCAGTCGTTCCTCATTAGGAAAGCAGTGCTTCTCGTCACAGGCAATTGCTGTAGAGCAAGTAAGTACATATTCATAATTTCTTTGGCCAAAAAAACAAAAGGTAGGTCGATCCATAGTTTTCCTTGGTATTTCTGTTCAAACAGATAAATCAGCAGCACATTTGGGCATTGACTAGCTAACAGCTTTTGAACAGTCACCTGAAGAAAAGTACATTGAGTAAAAGTACCTAAGAAGCGAAAAAGTTGGATCTTTGCTCTTTCAACTTTGTAATGACTAATTACTATGGTAGGTATAGGTAAAGAAATTTGGCAGAAAAATGAATCCCCACTTCTGTTGTTTTTATTAGTAGCATTTTTTTATAAGTAACATTTAGAAAACAAGATCTCTAAGAGCCTAATCAATATGACATTTTGAAATAATAACAGTGCATTTTTGTGTAGTTAACAATTAAGGAGATAAGATTTGAACTTGATGCCTTCCTTTTAGAAGAAAATAAGGACTAGCAGTTAGGCCAATATCTCCACACTTTTGGTCAACAAGCTTGAGATGAACCAATTCTGATCAAAGATCAATTACCAATGACCAGATCATAAATGGAAAATGAGGAAAAGTTTCATTATTTTTATCCCTCAATATCTCCACATCGAATACTCTTTAACTTCTGGTAGCTCTTAGTTGTAAATCACCCAATACGCATGCAGCTTCCAAAGATGACGGACAATATGCCATGAATTTAAAACTCAGAGTTTTCACTCACTTAACGATGTACCAAGATGGTGACCTTGTTCTTTTTGACAATTTTGTAGGTTCCACTTGCAGAAAATCCAAAGGAAAGTCAATATAATGAGCCTTCCAGCTTAATCCATGACCATAAAATTTCTCAGTTTGCTCAATTCCCCGGTATGAAAAAAAGTTAGGATCTTATATATTAAGGCTTCATTTAGACCGGCAGTGAGATTGTTTATGATAAGATTAAAAATATTAAGGTTTCATTTGGATGGATGATGATATTAATTATAGTGAGATTGAAAACAGTAATAAAATTTATTGTAACTGTAATTGAAAAAAAATTATTGTAATTGCAATTGAAAAAAATTTTTAATGAAAAATTTATGCTAACTTGATCTCATTAAAACTAGCATTTGGATTCAACTAGAGGTGCAGTAAGCTTAATCACACTGCACTAGAAAAGCGGTGTGATCTAAATGACTACTAATAAAAATTACTGTAGCTATGATTAAAAAAAATATTATTGTAATTATGATTGAAAAAAAATTTTAATGAAAAATTTATGCTGATTTGATTTTACTGGAGTTGGTGTTAGGATTTAACTGAATGTGTGGTGAGCTTAATCGCACCGCATGGAAGATGCAGTGGAATCCAAACCGCTATTAAGAAATGTTTTAAGACCTCATTTCCCACAATTATTATAGGCCAAGTCAAAGAAATGCCTCTAATAGACTATAAACTATCCCAATTATAGATAATGACTGCATTAAACTTTAGAGTATTCCTAAAATTAATACTAAAACATTTTGTGTTCTAAGACCTAATCAGGAAACTCAATGTCTGAGAGAAATCCTATATAATGGTTAAGAGGGAAAGCATTACAATTTACAACTCAAACCTGAAGGAAAATATCTTTGCTTACCCTGCCTTCCTTCAAAATCTATCCACATGCATAAGATAAGCTTCAGGTTGGATCGGTATTTTTGCATTAAAAATATGTTTGGAAAATGCTTCAATTTATGTATGTATATAGGGGAAAAAATAGATGGAAATTTAAATTGATTGCGGGCCTGGAAGTGCAGGTAAAATGGTTGTCTTGAGTCTTGAAAATCGGTTGCATACCATAGATTTATAGTGAAAAGATAACTCATCATAGACAAAATAATGGAAAATGTTACTTTAATTTAGCTTCCAAGACAATTCGGACCAACATTCAGAAGTAGCTAGCTAGCCCACCACTTTATCGTAAAAAAGGATGTCTCTTCATATTAGAACCATTTTCAAGCATGTTAATGATGGAACAAGACTCCATTCAATTTAAAAAAAAAAAAATCAGATAAAATGAAATACATTTCAAGCATCTTATGAAGGATACGTTGTTTTCGACTGTACTAAAATTTGATATGCTCCTTTCCTCTGCTTTTGGCTATAAGCTGACTAAGAGGGTCCATGACAGATTTTGCACATCAAATTGTTTACCCTTACATCTATAGTCTCTTCAGATTGGATTGAAAGTTTTTTTGGTGGGATCCCACACAAAGATGAGCTGGAAGGAAAAAGTGCAAAAGTTGATATATCATCACCATATTCATATTTAACATGGGAGGCGGACTCCATCGAGGATTCAATATCAAACTTTCCTGCTGTTCTAGATATTTCTGTGAGCAAACATTATCTGCTAGCTTCTAGTCTATTCAACACTCAACAGCAATATTTATATAACCACTATTCATATTGGCCTACAGGAGAGGCAACAATATACTCAATAGTTAGCAAACAAATGGATTTTCCAAGATTGAGATGCCGGGTATTCACAGTACTGTGTGACTACCAACTAAATATTAATTGGGGTCCTAGTCACTGGTTTGGTCCTTTCTACTTGTTTCAAAGGTGTGAAGTGTGAAGTGCTGTTAAATAAGAAATTTTGCTCATAAACATGAGTGATCAAAGAGGCTCTACAACATTTACCGGGAATGGATAAGCCAGCTTGATGAGCTCAAAACAACATTTACCTTGTCTTGACCTATTCAAAACCACAAAACAACAACTCCTGGTTCAACCGATTCCTGTCTTTTTTTCCTGCTTCACAATATGCTGGTAACTGCAGTCAAACACTTGACTAGTTGAATTACCAAATCAACTTTATGTGTAATTGGAAATAGAAAGAAATAATTTTTATGAAAATATTATGCCCAGCTTGGACAACTGCAGTACCTTTCCCTGAATTGGTTAAGATAACATGAAATCGGGAGTTAAAACGGAACCCAAAGGAGAAATATACAACTTCATGAAGAGTTTCCGTGTTAGAAAACTTGGAAATGACGATAAATTAGGCCATGAATGAAACTTCAACTTCTTAAGAATACCAAGAAAAAAACGGTTGAGTTTTTAATTACACCATTAATGTTAAGAATACCCCCGAAAAATGAAACAAAACATATTTTCACATCAAGGATAATGATAAGGCAGGCAGGGTATGGATACAAAGTATAAAGTACGATTAATCTTGTTAAGAAATTGGCAACATATCGGGAGCAATGGTCCATTCTTTTTAAGTACTGCAACTATAATTGGAATAGAAAGAAATCAGCTTTTGTAATGATTGTACCGAGCTCATCACGAGTTTCACTTTCAAGTTTCAATCCAAGCTCACTTCGATTACAGCAGAGCAACTTACCCTTAAGTCAATAGCCTCTCAAGCTCCCTTGGCTGCACTCTTTACTCTCCAGAAGCTTGCTCCAACAGCCTCAAAAACGTGGGGTGGTTCAGATAATTCAATGGAACAATGAATTTTTTCTGGTCATCTTTACAAATATATAGCAATAAAGGCAAAGTGCTCTCCCTTAACGTCTTCAGGTACATTGGTGGATTGACCATACAAGTTTGAATTCGATTTCTCATAGCTTAATTCTCAGCAACAGTTTTGAGCTTAGCCATTTATTCCGTACCTTAACTTTAGAATGTTAAATTGTTAATGACTTTGGTTTATGTATATAGAGCACAAGTTTGAGAGCCAGAAAGAAAGAAACAAGAACACGGGTTGGACGGACAGAGTTAGAAGCCAATGGGGGAGAGCAGCACATGTGGGTGATTTCAATCGAGCCTTTCAAGTTTCCACTCACCATGAAACATTGTTTTTCCTTCAATGGCTTTGGTCCTTACAACTTCTGTCTAGTCACGCCTATGTTTCAAATATAGTTGCTGTTTTTGTCAGTCAACCGCCTTTAATTTGTTCCCATTAATCTAATAACTCATCTTATTTGATATAGTAATCGGTTTATATTAGCAATCTCAAACGATAGCAATCTATCCATTTCACAGATGTTTACCCACTTTATTACTTTTTACCGGATTCCAAAACTCAAAATGCAAGTTTAAAAGCTTAACCTTCTAGTACTCATAAACCCTTTATCACTTAACTGTCAAAATTGGACTCTAAATCTTTTAAACTGAAATCTCTTCTAACTATTGATGTGTTGGGGAAATGAAAAAAGTTTAAAACATTCATGAAAGAAACATTTGATGGATGAGTAGGGTGGGGGATTCAGGTCAGGTCTAGGCTGTCATCATTCGTCAGATATTTGTAGAGGCGACATGAAATGAAACCCCATCTCTCTGATCGATGAGAAACAAAGAACATTACTGCAATAGGTCCACAGAGAGCCAACATGTTGTATAAGCGGCATGCAAACAACCATTGGGTGCCATACCAAATTTGTTGGGATTTACTTTTCTATAGTTTTTTCAACCCCCCTACCCCAAAAGGGAAAGTGGGGTCCTCTTAGTTGTTATGTTGACCGGCATTATTCATTTGTATAAAGTATACTTTTAATTAGAAACAAATTCATCATTTATCCAAAGAAGAGTACTTTAAGGTTGATAAGGCAGGAGACAAACACATAAGTTGGTTCAAAGTCATTTAATAAATGAAATAACGAAAATGAAACTTGAAAAATGTTATGAATGAAATTGCAGTATCACTCTTTCTAGAATTTTCAATAATGGTCGATGCCAACAAAGTTATCCAACGATGAATTACTAGGATTAATGTTAGAAAGAAATTTTCAAATGATTACAGCGACAATTTATGATGTAATAAACTACATAAAACAATCCTTACTCTCTACAAACCAATCTTTTCATGTTGCTACTCATCTCTTTCTGATGGCTCAAAACACCTAATAAAATATAAAGACTAAGCTCATCCTACACCAAATTCTAGATTATTCTGAAACTACAAATGGTATGGCATACAACAGGCTCTTTGGATTCCATGAGGGTGGTTAGAAACATCTATCAAGAAACAAGATGCTAAATGGAAGCACATGTAGAAGGATTTGTTTATAACTATCCGTGTATACTTACCTTTTTGGAAGGTTGAAATGTGCATTTACAAACAGAGAAGGCTATAGAAGACAAGTGGTATAAAAGCATTATCAAGTTGCGCTGTGTAGGCCTCCAATAAACCACTTGTGGTTACGGCTATGAGAAGAGGGAACCAGTGCTGTGGAAATTGGAATTTCAGACATCACTATATGTATAAATAACCTAAACAATAAATTAGGTCCATGGAACCATCTAGGTCCCATGATGAATTGACTCATCCGGGAGAGTCAAGTCTACATTTATGGTGCAAATTCAAAGAACTTAGGAGTTACTTTAATAAAACAGAAACAAACTTAGCCAGGTTGGATGTTTCAGAGAACAAATTCATTCCTGGTTAAGTTGCCACAAATGTGCTTATGATGAGTGTGTCAGTCAATGTGTGTGTGTGTGTGTGTGTGAGAGAGAGAGAGAGAGAGATAGAGATACCTGAGTTAGAATATATCCGGTGGATGCCAAAAGTGGAAGCAGGACAGAGCAAGCAGCAAGGACAGATGTTATACCAGCTGCAGTGCCTTCAATAGTTTTCTCTGAAGTGTAACAAATTTGCTATTGTTAGCAGGTATATTGTAAAGCCCCTCAAGAAACCTTAAGTATACAAAGCAATAAAAGGAGAAGAGAGAAAGAAAGAAGATTCTTACTGCCAGTTTTGCTCCACCTAAGGACACCATACTTGTGGCCAACCATTGATGCCTAAGCATAAAAGCAAAAAGTTCACGACTGTATGATAAACTTGGAAGGAGTAATAGGCAGTCAGCTAATTTGATACTTTGTAAACCTTTTTATATTTATATCTCTACTAGTTGTTGATTGTCCACATTGTTTCCAATTATTGTTCATGAATTAGCAAATTATTTTGCAATATAGTCATAACAAGTGGACTCCCTGCGGTTATTTCATGTGGCACTAGTGGTGGAGGTGGTAGAGTCATGGTGGATTTTTTAATCCTTAATTAAAGATGGCTAAGGTTTTCCCCTTCTATCTCTTTCTGGATTGGCTTGGAGTAGAATGCTTGTCTAGGTTTAAAAACTTTGGTCATGTTCGCATTGGATATTAACACTGTTAATCATTTGATAATGAGCAAATCCAAGAACAAAATTGCATAAAGTTTTAGTTCAAGAGCCAAATTTAACATCAAAGAAAAGCAAAAGAGCAGCAATTGGCAACATCATAACCATCGTGACATGTGGCACAATATCAACAACCAATGATAACTGTGAACATGATGCAACCTTTTTCTTTATTAAAGTAAGACTTAAAGAGCTTGCCAGCAAAATTATGAGAAGGGGGAGACTGAAGGAGTGGAGCATGAATTTTTGGAGAAGACCAAATGTGCTAGTGATATATCAGACTGCATTTTTTTCTGAAACATCTAGAAATTCTTAGGTAAATACAAAAGTGAGAAATTTGTAATGGCAAGAAATTGAAGGCCCCAATGGCAACAATAAGCATTCTTACCATCGTATCTCCAATTCCAAGGCTTAAAATTCCAGCAAAAGGGGTAAGAGGCCGATCATTGAACCCGGAGGACATCCAGATAGGAAGTGCACATCCCAATAAGAGTGAAAAGTGGCTACATAAATCAAAAAGGGACCTTACTTGAAATTGCTTGCAACAAGTATATGCCTTTTAGTTTCCAATAACAGTAACATGCCGTACCTGACAATAAGAAGATCCGAGTCACGATGATCTGTAAAGGCACTCATAAATTGATGCACAAGTTTCCCTAAAGGCCAAATTCTCCAAACCTGGCTACAAAGGAAAGGTTATGCAACATCAACCAAGAAACTTTAAAACAGATCAACAGTTTCCCAGCACATTAGAAAACATAGACCTTGCTTCTAAATCGTAAACACTAGGATATGAATTTTTAATTTGAGATACTTGCAAAAACACCACCCTTCAAAACCTTAACTAGTGAACATTTGGGCAAAAAGTAGAGCAACTTCACACAAATTATTACTTGATAAATTGTCAACATCTACAAAATATTTGCAAGTTTGGTGAACTTACTCGAATAATTTCTAATACTAAGAAAACTGCCAAAGCTGCACCAAATGCTAGATCAAGAAATTTTGGCTGCAATAAGAAATTAAAAAGTCAATATAATATCTAAGCAAACCATTACTAGAGTGAAGGAGCGGAAAAAGGTTGCTAAATAATAGATACATGATAGTCAAGTGTATACTCAGATCACCTGGTAAATAAGAGCAGGCAGAAACATTAAAACAGCCAGCAGATGGTAGTATTTTCGAAGAAGAATCCTCTCAATCTTACTGTTCTTAGAAATATTGTAAAACCGCAATACAGAAGCAAATATCAAACCCAACCAGTAGATACATAATGACAGTCTTTTCAATGGTTCCGAAAAAACAAACAGGAATATCCTGTAAAAAATGTATGATGTAAAGATAAGGTACTAGGAAAAATTGTAGGGAAACCAGAAGACAGCATGAGAAAAACCAAATAATGGTAGCAAAGGAAGAGAACCATTATTATCAATAAAAATAATTCCGTTAAAGTCATGTGATAGCATAAATCAGTTTTTTCTCTGCTGCACAACCGTTATCTCTAGAATGCCCAAAAAAGGACTGTAGCACAAATAACTTGCAACCCTAGGCTATAAGTATTAATAGCAACACCGGAGCAAGATAGGATATCAAATACCACAGAAACAAAACCACCCATTATACCAATAATATCTATATCCGTCACCAAACAGTTAAACTTAAAGTCACTAAAACCTCTTGATAAACACCTACTTACCTCAAAATTAGATCACACTACAGAAACCAAATGTAAAAGGGGATAGATAAAAGTCAAAGAAAAAGATGTTGATAAAAAAACATTATATTATAAGTCAAATTGAAAATATCTATGAGCAAAGATATACCATAACAGAGGATGTACATCAAAATCTAGGACGATCATCATCCAAGATGGGGCAACCGCAATCATGATAAATCCAAGAGAAGTAAAGAATATGAGAGATCTCCCGATTTCTTTGTTTTGTCTTGATTCAGACTTGTCAGCTCCCCAGAAGTATTCCCATAAGCAGATAACAAATTTAAAAACTGCTGAAAAAATAAGAAGTCCAAGCAGCACGCCCTGCATAGAAGAGAACAACTTTCACTATCCAGCTAGACCATTTACAAAAAATTTTATCACTTGAAGATTCATACCTGAATAATAATACCTATCTCACTTCTTTTAATTCCATATCGTATGGATACCAACTCCGGTGAAATCAAGAGTCTACAGACCTGTTCAAACAATGTCGTTAACATTGAAATGCTAATTCTGCTGGATTTTGCAGTCACGACAGCCTGTATTGGATGTGATAAAGCAGCCCTAACCTTTGAAATGGTACATGCCAACATGTCACCAAAATAGAGTACAAGACCTGAAGTCACCAAAAGTGCTTCCCCTGCAAAAACAAGGGACGTAAAAAAATCTTTTCACTGTGCTCAGTAAGAAACATTTGGTTGATAAAAGTTGACATCTAGAGAGAGTATCATGAAACAAACCGATTGAAGCACAACATGGGAACGTATTGAGAAGATGTTGAATTAATTTCACTGCAGCAAATCCATGACATAGCAACCACAGTAACTTTAAAGCTGTGTTAAAGCCTGTATGCAGACAAATGAAACCATTGGTTACTCAATGCAAGATAGTAACGCTAATTTTCATCTTCACAGCTTACTCAATGCATGAAACTAAAAACAAAAATGCAATAATAACAGAATGACTAACTTACCAGTATGAGATATTGTAGCAAGCGATATACAGCAAACAACGGAATATAAGATGACACAGCTTAAGCTAAACTTTGCATCCCAAACACTACAGGAGAAATGGGGATTCTTATTGTTGGCGGCACACCACATAACTATAGAGAGGAATATGAGCACACCGCAACAACAAGCTGATGTGGCCCAAAATTGCATTGTCATATGTTCAAGCTCTACACACAAACATCAAACATAAATCCAAAATGTTCTTATATATTCCCTAAAATTCTTTGTAGAATTCATTTGTGAATCCATAATTTGCTTTGTTAATCTAACTAAGAGAACATTTTTCAAGGCGAAAAGGAGTACCATCAAGCTCAATTCGTTGCAAAGAGAAAGCTCTTGAGAGCTGAATCAACTTCGAAAGCATTACAGTTGGCAACGTAATTGCTCCTAACATTATTCCTGATGAAGCACCTGGCCTACTAAAACAAACAAAAATTCAAACTTTCACATTAAAAAATAAAAGAATTTAACGAATTGAGATTCTCTAAAACCCTAACTCTCCAAGTGAAAATCAAATTTTCTGATGAAGCACCTGGCCTACTAAAACAAACAAAAATTCAAACTTTCACATTAAAAAATAAAAGAATTTAACAAATTGAGATTCTCTAAAACCCTAGCTGTGCAATTGAAAATCAAATTTTGATCTGTCTTTGTTCCTTTTACATACCTGGTTTTGAAGAGGAAGAGGGAGTCGTCAGCGCGGATCTCGACGAAGAGAGAGAATAGGGAGAGGAGGGAGAGGGAGAGGGCGTGGGGGAGGAGGGAGAAGGGGAGAGAGGAGAGAATACGGAAGACGAAGACGAGAACCACGGCTCTCTCTCCGTTCATCGCCTTCGACGGGGAGATCCACATGGAGATCGGAAACGATTGAACGGTGACTTTACGCGGGAAGGATTAGATTCAAAAGGAAGTTTTTTTTTTTAATTTCAATTGTTTTTCCTTTAATAGAAAGCGCTTTGGATTGTCTGTTTTGTCAGAATTCGGAAATCGAGGGGCATAGCCCATCGGATTGTGGTCGACGCGGAAGTTCATTGGACTGCCGCCTGAAACATGGGACCCATGTTCTTAGAATATTCTTTTATTTATTTACTTCGGATAATAGATTTTTATCTAATTACTACTACAATTTATTGATAGAGTTTTTTTTTTTTTTCTTTCTTTCAAATATGGAGTTTTTAAATTTTACAAAATCAAAATGTTAACAATTTTTTAATATATTAATATATATGAAAATTTTTTAATCTCCACAATAAATTTTTAAAAGAATATAAAATAAAATATTTTTTATTGATCAATGAGAAAGAATATAAAGACCTATTATTCATATATTTTTTTTATGTGATGAATAACATGATGGACTCCCTGTTGGGTTCGACAGGTCGTTGAACCATGACCAGTTCATGCATGGGTAGCCTTTGGTCCGTGTCCAGTTGCACCCAATGGCTCGATAAAAATCTTCATGGCTCAGTTTTGTAAGTGTCTTTTGGTAGCTATGTGCCCATGTTTAAAAAACTGACCTAATAGATAGCCATTGAGCTTTTGCTTAGGAAAGTGAATTTTATTTGGGTGATCAGGCCTGATATTGTGAGCTCTGAAGATGCTGATCCTCTTGCGGAGGAGATTGGTGACCGTTCGATGATCATACCTTGGTGTTGTCAAAATGAAGTGCTGGCCCACCCAGGAACAGGAGGGTTTTTGACTCATTGCGGGGGTAATTCAACACTTGAACTGAGATTCATTTGAGCCCACCACAAAGGAGGAAGTTTCTGATAATATCCACCGTCCGATGAGTGGAAATCAAGGGATCATTAGACAAGTTCAAGGAGGTGAAGGCAACATTAGAAAATGAGTTGACACTCAATGGATCATCAGAAAAAAAAATGGAACAGTTCATCAAGGAACTGAAGGCTAAAATTCAATGCAAAACCATCTCCTCCCAATATCCGTCATCCATGACTAGGGTTTTGATGATTTCAGTTTGAATATTTGAATCATCATCTTCAGCTTTTTGTTACTGCCATTTCTTCTTTAATGTTTCTAGTACAGGATGTAATTTGGATTTTTGTCACTATTCTTGCTTATAGAACAAGTAACTTTCTTTCCTTACATTAGGGTCAGGTGGATCTGTCCTCTGATGCATCAAAGTTTGGCACTCCTTTCCTATATCACATTCACAGCCAAATTTATGAATGACAACTTTGGATTGGACAAGCAAAGCCAAAAGAAAAGGGATTATACCATTTGAATCGCTGACAAAGATCGATAGTACCACTCGCATTCATCTCAGGTTGTTGAATTGCGATGACACTGGCAAAGTCTACGTAGGGATACATTTTTCCTTACACGAAAATGTAGCAAAACAAACACAAGAATTCTATATCCAACTGCCATGAGGAACAACACCAGTATATTCTCCCACTTGGAATTACTGCTTGGAGAGATATCATAAGCACTATGGAGTGCCTGAAACCCGGATATGGTCCTCACCTGTCCAACGGCAAAATTGGTCCCTAGGTACTCATTCTCCAAAAGCCCCTATGGCAAATACAGAGGTTACAAAATTAAAGATCCATTCAGCAAAGATAAAATTGCCCAGAATGGTTTCTCCGATGCATACAGAGACTGAGTATGAGCAAACTACAATTTGATATGAAGAAAATCACGCAATGCTGAGCAATGTGGTTTGTAAGAAGGAACAGATGACCTAATGTTCTAAGAAGCACACACCTGGATCGAATAAGTGTGGAAAGCAATGTATGATAATGGATACGTCCATACAGGTCCAGGCAACTCGTTCCGGATTCTGAAATAGCCTGCTGCAAGCATCATTATCACCTGAACATCATGCATGTTGGTCATAAGATTAGCAAAGGCTACGTAAAGGGTAAATATTGGAAATAAAAAAAATTCTAAAAACGTAGACAAATTGAGAACAACTAGTTTTAGGTGCAGCACGAAATAATTGTCTTATATATATAGTGAAAACTCACATGTATGGTTATTAGTGTTAAGACACTCCAGAAAATATTTTGCCACAAAGAAGCAACAGCCAGCATTAATCCTTCATTTATTAAGAGGCACATGAAGAAATTCAGCACAAAGTACATGAGCAAGCTGAATTCATCTCGCAACCCTAGTAAGAAATAGAAGACAAGACTTGATGATATGGAGATGAGGAATAGGAATGGAATGCTGGAGAGAAGTTGCCCAAACAAAAAGACTAAAGCTCCTGAATGCTGGTTTGACTCCTCGCAGGCATATAACTGCAAAACAGAAAAGCACCTTGAGTATGAAAGAAAGGCACCAATCATGCAACTTTCCAAATTGGGAGAGAAAACCAAAAATTTTTATCAATCAAAATTAAAAAAAACTTCTCCTATTTTTTAGTTAAGATGGGAGATGAGGGGATTTCAAATTGGAGACCTCCTTTAAGGAGGTAAGACGTGGCAGCGAATAGCCTATTATCTCAGCCAACAACTTTTAAAGGCCATCACACTCAAACCAAAATAGACAAAGTAACTAAGACAAGTAGGATCACCTCGATTTCTTTCATTAGTGCAGGTACTCCGGCGATGCTTAAAAGTGAAGTAAATGATACAAATACAAAAATTGCTGCAACTCTTGTCTGCAATGAGAGAAGATAAAAGTTAGACACACGCCCATGCTTCATGAGTGTATCAGTTATTGTTCTGAAAAACAGATTAAAAGATAAGTCAAACTTCCAAAAACAAGATAGAACAAGCACTTACACCATGCATTCAAGAGGCAGGAATCATTATGATGAACTATTGCATATGTGTTAATCAAACTACATTCTCTATTTGCTTATCACACTGAATGTAATTTGTTGCAAACATCCCTATGAAATGCATGTCTAGAAATATTACTTCATCAACTGGATGAAGTGAATATATATAAAAAAAAAAAGGCACTATATGAATGACAGTTTTTAAATTATTTAAAGTTACTGGAGAAAATTCAGCATTCATGAAAGAAAGCTAGTAGAAGGTGGACCTGTGCAGCTCAAAAACATAGCCTACTTACCATGAGAGCATGAAATTAGCAGATGCTAACTATGACAAACGAGAGATAGAAGCAGTAAGCATAACAATAAGGAAAATACTCTATAGAGAATAAACAAGATGCAACTATAACAACTACAAATATATGCATCACATTTGTACAAATAATTATAAAACCAGTTTAGGTCAACTTAAGTCAAATTCACCTTAAACATAAGAGCAGAGATATTGACTCATGCACAAAAGGTTTAACTCACCACAACTGAGGACAAAGAATGTCCCAAGCCTGAAAATACAGTTCCAATACACAGTGTAAGAAGCATATAAAGAATAAGACGAAGCCAGTAGTATTTCCATTCCCTCGACATAATTAATAATGATCTCCAAGTCAATACTGCAATTCTTGTGGCATTGCTAGCCCTTCCCTTGCTTTTGAGAACTGGACCTTCCTGTAGAATGCAGCAAAAGTGAACAAAAATTAGAAAGGCCGACTTATGGCCACCATAAGACTCAAGGAAGTCAATGCAAGCTTAATATACATGGTAAACAGATGTCAGCCAGCTACACTCCACCATAACTTACCTTTGTTCATTCCAACTTTTAATGTGTACACCTGAGGTACATTAAACCATTCCTTGTAATGTAAAATTAAACAGTAAGGATGTGGGAGCACATTAGTTGCAAATCTAACACATGCCCCAAATAACCAACCAGTATAACATCCAGTCATACATGATGACACATATAATTAAATCTTCCTATAATCCTATTAGCAAAGGCCAAGAAATTGTAAATGGTTCAAAACTAAACAGAATATATATTGTACCTTCTCTGAGAGTCTCAGTATCATAGTTTCAACGGTAGCAGCATCAGCCGACGATTTGTATGTTGCCTCAAGTGTACGAATTGCAACAGCGGTATCCATATTCACAGATGAAAGTTCCCCATTGTCATCCTGTCTCAATGTACCAGTTCATATAAAGTAAATTATGCAAATTATAGCAACATTAAAGACTATAAGCCATCATTCAAAGGTACAATACTAACACATAGAAACAGGTAGGATTACAACTGGAAATGACTATTTTTCCACTTTAATTTAAGTGACATAAAAGGTGCAGCCAAAAATAATGGACAAGGTGTAGCATGATCCAACAGCTTTTGAGATCTGACTCAAATGTTTTAGACTCTTTTCTTACTCTTTCATTTTTGGGGTTTTACTTGTTCTCTTCAACTACCATTGAAGCTCTGAACTACAATACACAGAATGAGAATCATTAAGTACCTGCCAATTTTTGCACATCGCAATGATCCTGTCAAAATCTGTATTTATGGCACGCAGAAAGTGATCAGATGGACTTTGCATAATCGGGCAAGGGAATCCAGCATTTGAGAAGTGCTTCATCAAGAAAAGGGAGATAAAGTAGAATAAACAGAAGTTACAACAGATATTCATAAGGTAAAAGAAAAGAAAAGAAATTCAAATCTTTATAAATGGATTCTATCTTCTTTTCCTTGCTCCTTGTTACAGGAACCAAGTAAGCCTAAAACAGAATCTTTAAAAGGACCTTTTTTTTCTTCCATATCAAATGATGCTCACATTATGAAGTCACTACTAATAGAAAATCAAAACAAAGACAATAGTAGCAAAAATAATTATATTCTTATCATGAATTACCTGCAAGCAAGCTAATGTTTCCCCAAAAAACAGGGTGTTTCCATTTGAAAGCAGACAGATACGATCAAAGAGCCCAAACACTTCAGTACTGCTCTGGTAAATGGTGAAAATTAGAGTGCATCCTGTGCTTGCAAGTTTCTTCAGTGTTACCATCATCAAAAGGGCAGAGACACTGAAGAAAATAAAATATTAAAAATTTTAGCTATAACAGCATAAATCATCTTGATTCTTTAGAAATTAAATGGCAGTGGCACACCAATCATACAGTCAGCACTGTAGAGCATGCAGGAGACAAGGAACAAGAAAAAAATAAAACACTTTTAAGAAAAAAAAAAAAGGAAAATAAATAAATTACTAACCTGTCAAGATGATAAAGAGGTTCATCTATAAATAAGATACGTGGCCTCATCACGAGTTCCCGAGCAATGCTAACACGCCTTCTTTCACCACTAGGAAGGCCTTTCATATAGCAATGACCACCAATCAGTTTGTTTGCATAGTCACCCAAGGACATGGCATCGATGGCTTCCCCTACCACACTCTTTTTCTGACAGAAAAAACCAGGAAGTTGGAGCAAAGCTGAGTAGTATAGATACTCCCTGACTGTAAGTGAACCAATTAGAGCGGTTTCTCTGTCAACAAATCCCTGCAGATTGGATGCTTGGAAGTCAAAAAACCAACCATGAAACTGAATGCTTCCTTGGAACTTCTGTTCAACTAAAATAGAATTAATTTTGAAAAGGAAAAGATTTAAAACTAGCACTTTCAAATAAGAAAAATTAGCCTGGTTTCCACAAAAATAATATGGAATTAGGACAGGTATGTGAAACAAAAATCAACTATCAGTTCAAAAATGGGAGTTCATGGAATCCCAACTCATGCTGCTTGCTATATTGGAAACCTAAGTAGGACAAGTATTAAAGGATTAATCACCTATGATGTTTCACATAATGAGACAAGTAAAAAAAACAAGGATTTTGGTATTATATAAGATGATAGTTCATCAGAAATTTTCCTATTATAACCTATGACTCAAAACTGGATTAAGACCTGTGCTGACAATTTCAAGTATATCTCAACTTCTCTAGGATCAGTTGGACATATTATAATTTCAAAATACCAAATCCAAAAAGTTTAATGTAAGAAAATGGAAAAAAAAATGCACATCGATTTGCACAAAAAAAGGAGAAAAATTAGTCACTTTTACCAGGAAAGAATCACCCTAACAACAGAAGAACCGTAGGAAGCATAAAAAGAAACATATAAAAATTTCACCCTTGATGAAAATGTAACTGAAACTCACATATGAACCATATGGCATGTGCATTTTCACCCCATTCACGAATACTTCACCATACATTTTAGCCAAAGGATGTAATCTACCTATATTCAAGAGGAAAAAGGATTTAGTCTTCAACATCTGAAATGAAATAAAAACCTCATTGTTCAATAAGTAGCCAAAATAAATGTCATGCTAAAAGACCTGCAATAGCCCTTAGAAGTGTGGACTTCCCAGATTTTGCAGGACCCATGATCACTGTCACTGTGCCAGGTAATGCATAACCATTCGAACTCTTCACCACCTTATCAGAATATTTCCTTTTCCCCTTTATAGTAACAGTCAAGTCTTTCCACACAACTGATGCGCCAGCATTTTTTCTTGCAACAGCTGCACCCTCTGGCAGCGGTGGTGATGGCAAGGACCCACTATTGAGCTTTGAGAGAGATGGGGAGACAGGTGTGGTTGCGGCATTAATAGAGTCACCTCCTTCCTCCACTCTGGCACCAACATCAGTATCCTCCCACTCAGGTGAATCCTCAAATGAGATAGCTTGTCTGAGAGAACCAGGTTTCCGCAAATAGAAAAAGTTACTTGAAGGCATTCTACTTGTGGGACTACTGGCTGAAGAGGATGAAGACCTATAATTGTCTGATTGAGACTGTATTTCTTCCATTTATAACTCCCGATTTTCAAATCTTCTATTGTACAAGAAGCACTTGCAAATGAATCGGGAAACTTCCTAGTATCCCACTTAAATAATTAAGGGATCAAACTAATTTATATCTGCACGCATGAGTTTACCATCCACACTTTCAATGCTTTAACAACCCCTATTTCTCATGTCACCTGTTAAATGAAAATTAATATTAAGCAATGATTCTGAAATTCGAACTAAGGTACTATAGGAAAGCAAAAGAGTTTATCTGTTTACCTGACACATTTCAAACTACCCACTACTCCATTTCATTACGAAACAAAATAATGCACGAAAATACTCAAAAAATGAAACCTTCAACAAAAAAAACTGAACTTTCTAGTAACTAAAGGAAACCCATACCCTTCCTGCTTTACAAAAATTAAAACTTTCAACAGAAACCATCATTCCTTCGCCGGGTTACATAAAAAAAAAAAAACTCAAACACTGTCTTTTTTGGTCTTTTCTTAGTAACTCAAGTACCCAACAGCAGACAAAATAAGCTATAAAGCGAATAACCCATGTCAAACAAACTAACCTGAATAATAATAAGAGGAATCAAAAGCTAAAGAGAAGTGTAAGGAAGAGACAAACCTGGATCTGTGCAAGAAAGAACTTCAATGAGAAAGAGAAAGAAAGAGAGTTGAATCATGTGCAAAGAGTTAAGTGAATGTGTGAATGAATGAAACAAAGAGAGGTCTTAGTTTTTATTACTCTTACTAAATAAGTAATCTAAAAACTCGGTTCTTGGATTACTTGACCCGCTGTTCCCGGGTCTCCCTTTTGCCTTCTGATACCACAAAATAGTACCATGCTTTGCTTCATTGCTTGGCATCTCCTTGTGTGCTCTGAATTCTTTTTTGTTTATTGTTTTTGTTTTTGTTAGGCCTAATTATTCGGTCAACGAAGTCAACCTTCTAAATCGTCCAGCTTATCTGTGCCCAACTATCACGTTATTTTATCCCAAGAATTAGTTTGCCTGTCATCAAAGGTTTCGACTTGGTGTTCAATAAAGTTCCATCAAAATATTATTTTAAAATTAAATATTTAACTTTTAACTTACCTTAAATTATTAAAATTATTCACGTAAATTTTTTTTAATATTATATAAATTCATCATTAATTATCAATTTCCCCAATGAATTTTTCATCCCTATCTCATATATAAAGTAAAATCGAAATTTAAATATGTAAAACCTAAATAAATTTTTTTCATTGTAATTTTTTCAATACACTTCATCTCTCTTCTTTTTAAACTCTAATACCTCATTAATTTAAGCGTTGAAAAACGTTAGAAAAAACCAACTCCAACATTCTCTAGCCTGACTTTCTAACTGCAAATCTAGGTTTCCTTACCTTTTATTCTTCATTCAGCTTTCCCCCATCTACGACACCTAAAGAAACTATCAACAGTTTTTTTATATATAAACGTAATTTTTTTTGTCCTTGATCTTTCTCTTTTTCAAGGTTCGCTTTAATTTATTCTGAAGAAGAATGTAATGATGTTAGTTTGCCAACAGACCCTTTCAAAAGCGCTCCTCTTCATTACTTTAGCTGTTACCATGATTCGTTGTCCCATTTTTTTTCTTGTTTTAAATTATTATTGTTCTACTTTGATAAAAGTGGAATGCACTATTTACCTGGTCACGTAATATTCAATGCAACTAATGAATCTATTAAAATGTCAGAAGAAACAACAAAATTTTATATTAAAATGTCATCAGAAATTTGTTAAAATAAATAGGTTAGATAACCTAATTTTTTTTTTATATATGTCTAAGAAAACCGATATATAAATTTTAAATTTAATTTGATTAATTCATATAATTTTAAAAATTTATTTGCTTTGATTACAAATCCATCCATCCCTAACCTTATTCTTCAACCTTTGATTTATGGTTGCAAGAAGCTTCTAACAGAGCTTAATTGTCCACAAATCATGACTTTATCAAGTCTCCGTAAGCACACGATGCGGCAAGGTAGTTTATGTATCACACTATCTTTTAAATTATTTAAGTTTTTTTTTTTATGACAAAAAAAAAAAATTGCTTTAAGGGGATAGTGGATTGGATGTCTCAATTATCCATTGGTTTCTTTCTTGACTACCAAGGTTGATAAGATAGCACATTAAAAACAAAAAAATAAAATAAAATAAACAGAAAAATAAAAACGTGTGGGTCACATATATGAAACACTTGAAACCCTTTTTTCTTACCCAAGAGACAACTTGTTGGGGAAATGTCCAAACAATCTTCTACTTAGAGATATGCTTTTGATCTTAATTTAGGATTTGACAAGGTTTATAGTAACATTTTATTTAAATAGTTACTTTTTCTACGCGCTTGTCTTTTGTCTTTCAACTTTTAATACCTATTTCTTTGTAAAAGTATAACAAAATCTACATGAAAAGATAATATATTGAGTTATTTTGTCAATAATTTAATAGTAGTGATTTTGCTTTATTCATTAATGACTTTTAAATTAGTGTCTTAACATGTGCTTGATGTATACACTTTTGCAATTTTGATTCGACCTAATCGGAACAACTATTTATGTATGAACATGAGCAAATTTTTTAATTTTTTGAAGAAATTGTATTTTATATGCTTCTTGTAAAAAAAATAATAATTATATCAACTAAATTAAAATTTTGTTGTGTATTTTTTTATTATATTAGTTTTTTAAAATTTTAAATTTATTTAAAAAATAATTAGATATGCTAATTTTATTCATATTTAATGAAAAATTCAATTTTTTACTTAAATAAATATAAAAATAATTATCACATTATAAAAATGGGAATGAGAATAGACATGATTTATAATTTTTTAGATGTAAACGAGTAATATAGTACCCACCTTGTACTCATACCATACTCAAATTTTACATATATATTTATAAATATTTAATAAATAGATTATTTGGTTAAATAATATAAATTATTATTTTAGATTAATTAAAATTAATATATTTTAATTTAAAATATATATTTGTAAAAAGTTACATAAATATGAAAGATAAAAATAAAAATTTTAACAAAATAAATTTTTTTTTTTATTTTTTTTAAAAAATTATGTATACAAAAATTATTCATACTCATTAAATATCTACAAAAATTGAAATAAAGATAAATTATTTAAAATACCCATTAAACATAAATATAAGAATATATATAATAAAAAAAAATAAAAATAATAATAAAAAATATTTTACTTGTCTTATACTTTATTTATTGACATTTCTATATGCAATAATAGCTTATCAGGTTGATAAATTTAAAAAATAATTTTTTTCTAAAATACTGCGTTTCTAGTGTTAGATGCTTTGATTTTCCTTTTCCCCGTTCCAAGTTTGGGCTTTGTAACGGGCTTCAATGGCTCTTCTGCCATAGTTTATTGAGCGCTAAAAATACTACTTTAAATGGGCCTTTGGGCTTTTCCATTTCAAATTTCAGGCCCAAAAGGACTCGTTAATTGTCAGTGTCCAAAAAATTAACAGACACTGGATTGTCCAGTTAAGCCTAGATTGGGCCAAAGCCCAGAGTTAAAATTGGGAATTTAATTGTTTTACTATAAGAAATTTAAAATAATTTAAATTTACAAAAAAATTGTTGGATAATATAAAAGATAAAGAAGTAAAAACACATTCAAATTATTCTTTTGATACTTTTTAAATTTTATTTAGGTTATAAATAATAATAATAATTAACACACTAGAATTTGAAGTTTTGATTTTGTTACACTAAAAGTGATGATATTGATTTTGTTATATTTTGTATTAATAATTAAAAAACTAAAATGTTCTTATTTTTGAAAAAAAATTAAAAAAATAAATATGAAAATTTTAATACCCAAAATTTTTTCCTTCCTATTTTAAAATCTAGGGAAAAAAAGGGTTTATAACTAATAGTTTCTTTGGTCAAAATTTAAAATTGATAGTTAAAAAAACCTTAAATTTTAATTTAACTAGTGTTGAATTTTGGCTTCGTCTGATTTGTTAAATTAATTTTTAATACTTTATTTAATTAATATTTAATTGAATTAAAATTAAAAATAATTTAATATAAAGTTAGTATTATCAATTGTACAAAACTTTGTTAAAATAATTGACAAAAAAAGTTATTAAAAACTAAATAGAAAATATTATATTTGCATTTTAAAGTCATAAAATTTATAAATAGAGCAGTTGTTAAACAAAAATTATAATAAAATACTTAGTTTGTAGCTATAACTAATTATTGAGAACTTTATTCATTATCATGATAGATAATTATTTTAAAAATTTTGTGTGCTGTCATAATAAATAAATAGTAATTGTTGATCTTCAACTGATTATCAATAACAAATTTTTCATTATTTTGACAATAATTTATTTTTGACGTTACAGTGTGATCTAAAATTTATTTTCTTTCATAATATAATAGAGTGATAGAAAAAATTTTGTGCGATAAATGCTTACAAAAATAGGTTTTAATATGCTATAAAAATAATATAATAAAAAATTATTAATAAAAATTTTGAATGTATATTTTACCTAATAATATATATAATTATTTCCTAATATAAGATGACTATTGACTACTGATGACGTTCACATTTGTCAGGGTAAGATTGTCAAAAGCAATTATAAATTCTTTTAGAGATAACATAAATTTTCATATATAAAAAATTAAATTCAAAATCCAATGGTCTTCACTTACAAAATTTAGAATGAAACAACCCAAAAATAAAGAAAACTCAAACAAACAATTCACAATTTTCAAACCATCGATACCTTGAGATTACTTTTTATCCAAAGCTATATAGATTTAATTTAATTTATCTAGCGTTTTTCTTTAAACTTTCTTTAATTCTGATATCCCGAAAAAAAAAAAAATTATGACTCCAATGTCAAATGAAACTTGGGAATCCGAAATTAAACATATATATATATATATATATTATTGTCAAGATAAAGAAAATAAAAGACGATAAATATCGGTCGAAGCGTTTTCCCAACGCTCACTTTTAACTACGCTTTGCTCTCTCCTTTTCTCTGTTGCTCTTTCAGATCTCGATGAAAGATGAGTAACCGTGCTGAGTCGTCCGACCTGTGAGTCAATTTACTTCTTCCGGTTTTCCTTTTGCTTTTTCTATGATTTTTGGTCTTCAATTCTGTTCCGCTTAATCTTAAATTTTGCTGCTTTGATTCAGGAAATCGGAGAGGAAAGACTACTCGACGGCGATTTTGGAAAGGAAAAAGTCGCCGAATCGGTTGGTCGTTGATGAGGCTGTCAACGATGACAACTCCGTTGTTGGTTTGCACCCCGACACCATGGAGAAGTTGCAGCTCTTCCGTGGAGACACTATTCTCATCAAGGTAACTTTTTTTAATTATGATGGTAGGGTTTGGTTACGGTTCGTTTATTTTTTTAATTAATATTTGGCTTTCAAGACCGTCTTTTGTAGCTCTAGAACCTAAATTCTAACGCGATAGGAGTTAGATTTTATGATTATCGGAGGCTTAATAGCAGGATTTGATGAAAATTGGTGTTAATTAAAAACCTGAAATTTGATGTTTTAGGGTTTCCCAATGTTTTCAATGGCGTTGTTCTTATTTGAGGATTTGGCTGCTATAGGGAAAGAAGCGAAAGGATACAATCTGCATTGCTCTTGCTGATGAGACATGCGAGGTGCCTAAGATTAGAATGAACAAAGTTGTTCGGTCGAACCTGAGGGTTCGACTTGGAGATGTTGTGTCTGTGCACCAATGTCTTGATGTGAAGTATGGGAAACGTGTTCACATTCTTCCCATTGACGATACCATCGAAGGTGTTACTGGGAGTCTGTTTGATGCTTACTTGAAGCGTAAGTTTTTAACCTACTCCTGTAAATATAATTGTTGGTTAGCTTTGCCGACCATGCACACATCTATTACTATTTTATTGGTTTATATATTTATATATATATATATATATATTTTGCTGAATTGTTCTTTGTTTTGATGTTGTTGGATTGTGTTTTTTTTATGTTTGTCTGTGTGGTTTGCACTTTGCAGCTTATTTCTTGGAGGCTTATCGCCCTGTGAGGAAAGGAGATCTATTCCTTGTTCGAGGAGGGATGAGGAGTGTGGAGTTCAAGGTCATTGAGACTGACCCAGCAGAGTATTGTGTAGTTGCCCCAGACACTGAAATTTTCTGTGAGGGGGAACCTGTTAGAAGGGAAGATGAGGATAGGTTGGATGAAGTTGGTTATGATGATGTAGGTGGTGTTAGAAAGCAGATGGCTCAGATTCGTGAGTTGGTGGAATTGCCCCTAAGGCATCCTCAACTTTTTAAATCAATAGGTGTTAAACCACCCAAAGGGATTTTGCTTTACGGACCACCAGGTTCTGGTAAGACATTAATAGCCAGAGCTGTTGCTAATGAAACCGGAGCTTTCTTCTTCTGTATTAATGGACCAGAGATTATGTCCAAATTGGCTGGAGAGAGTGAAAGCAACCTTAGGAAGGCTTTTGAAGAAGCTGAGAAGAATGCTCCATCTATCATCTTTATTGATGAGATTGATTCAATTGCTCCTAAGCGTGAGAAGACACATGGTGAGGTTGAGAGACGGATTGTTTCACAGCTTTTGGCTCTCATGGATGGTCTGAAATCAAGGGCTCATGTGATTGTTATTGGGGCTACTAATCGTCCAAACAGCATTGATCCTGCTTTGAGGAGATTTGGCAGGTTTGATAGGGAGATAGACATTGGTGTTCCGGATGAAGTTGGTCGTCTTGAAGTCCTTCGCATCCATACCAAGAACATGAAGCTTTCGGATGATGTGAGTTTTATATCTGCATTATTTATTTATTTATTGTAGTTCTATGTCTAGCAAATAAAATTATTAGATCATGGTTTTTGTATTGTTGTTTGTACATGGATTTAACTACTTAAGCCACTAACCTTAATGATGTATCTGAGATTGGTTGGATTTGGGCCCTCAAATCAGCTTATATTCTGTGCCAGAAATTCCCCACGTCTTGCTCTCTTTTGCATTTACTGTTGGTTAACTTTTTTCTCTCTCATCAGGTTGATCTAGAAAGGATTGCAAAAGACACTCATGGGTATGTTGGTGCTGATCTTGCTGCTTTATGCACTGAAGCTGCACTGCAGTGCATCAGAGAGAAGATGGATGTCATTGACTTGGAGGATGATTCTATTGATGCTGAGATACTTAATTCAATGGCAGTTACAAATGAACACTTCCAAACTGCCCTTGGAACTAGCAATCCCTCTGCTCTGCGTGAAACAGTAAGTTATTTCATTTCCTCTGAGCTTTGATCATGATGTGTATATATGATTAATTTCTATCTCAAGATAAATGAATTTTTTTCAGTTGTCTTAAATAGCTCACTTTTTATTCATCCAGGTGGTTGAAGTGCCTAATGTCAGCTGGGAGGATATTGGAGGCCTGGAGAATGTTAAGCGAGAACTTCAGGAGGTGGTTGTCATTACTTTATCATCTTATAGCTTAACTCTTTTAGTTTATTTTCAAGCTTGTTTTTAACACTTCTGTTTTTGTATTTCTGTTTGGTTTTGCAGACTGTGCAATATCCTGTGGAGCACCCAGAGAAGTTTGAGAAATTTGGCATGTCGCCTTCAAAAGGGGTCCTTTTCTATGGTCCTCCTGGCTGTGGTAAAACTCTTCTTGCTAAGGCTATTGCAAATGAATGCCAAGCAAACTTCATCAGTGTTAAAGGTCCTGAACTGCTCACCATGTGGTTTGGTGAGAGTGAAGCCAATGTTAGAGAAATATTTGACAAGGCTCGACAGTCTGCACCTTGTGTCCTTTTCTTTGATGAGCTCGATTCCATTGCTACACAGGTTTTATATTTGCTCTATCAATGATTTAAGTTTCAATATATGCATGTGTTTTGGTCATCCACTAAAATGAGAATACTGAATAGTTATTTTTACTCATTTGATGACATCATGTAATTTTTGCAGAGAGGAAGCAGTGTTGGGGATGCAGGTGGTGCTGCTGATAGGGTTCTAAACCAACTTCTAACTGAAATGGATGGCATGTCAGCTAAAAAGACTGTTTTTATCATTGGGGCCACCAACAGACCTGACATTATTGACCCAGCACTTTTACGGCCTGGACGGCTTGATCAGTTAATTTATATTCCTCTTCCAGATGAGGAGTCACGTCATCAGATCTTCAAGGCCTGTTTGAGAAAATCACCGGTCTCTAAAGATGCTGATTTGAGGTCACTGGCTAGGTATACCCAGGGGTTTAGCGGGGCTGATATTACTGAGATTTGCCAGCGAGCATGCAAGTATGCCATCAGAGAGAATATTGAAAAGGTACCTTTCTGCTGCCTGTACATTATAAATGGTTTTAAAAAGTTAAAACTGTATTTTTTTTTTCATGTTTTAATATGTATGATTGAGGTACTCATAAGTGGCTCATTTCCTGATATTCATCTTCTCGTTTAAGATGCTACTATCGGCTTGTTTTTCACATGGTTATATGCTTTATGGGTTTTTTTTGGATTGCAGTCTCGTTATATTGTTTAAAATTACTCCTACTTAATGATATCTTCAATTTGTTCACCTGCTAACTTTCATGCCTTGAGTGCTTTGCTTGCTGGGCAGACTAAATATTGATGTAGTCTTGTGTTGATAACTTGATAACTAAACATTAAATTAAATGGTAACTGTTTGCAGGACATTGAGAGGGAAAGAAGAAGAACAGAGAATTCTGAAGCAATGGATGAGGATGTGGAGGAAGAAGTCGCAGAGATTAAGGCTGCGCATTTTGAGGAGTCCATGAAGTTTGCACGAAGGAGTGTTAGTGATGCTGACATTCGCAAATACCAGGCATTTGCTCAGACCTTGCAGCAGTCTAGGGGTTTCGGATCTGAGTTTAGGTTTTCAGAGACTAGAACCACTGCCACTGGATCTGATCCATTTTCAACTTCCGCTGCTGCTAGGGATGACGAAGATGATCTGTATAGTTAGGTTAATATATCTAGGTTTAGCAAAGCCCTTTTTTTTTTTTGGATAAGTTGTGCTTTATTTATCCAAAGCAAAGTTCTACTACAAAGTAACTATCCAACTGTCTGTACAATTAATTAGTAGCATACTTTAGTATAGCCACATTTAAGTTCCAAAGCATTGTAACTTTTAGACTCTATCTGTAGCAATATGGCTTAGCTCTTATAACCATATTCGAACAATCATCTTTAATTTGATTTTGCAGTTGTGTGTTGTCTTTTCTTTTTGCTTCAGTATTCTAGAGGTTTTTTCCCTCCATATTGATATATGTAGGTATTCCATGCTATTCTCAAAATGATGGATGTGAATGCTTTTCCTTTCAATCTATTTGTTGCCCAGTTTAATTCTAAACGCCAGTTCTCCACTGCTCTGAGCGATTAAAGCAACCGTCGCCATATTTCCTGAGGAGTATGCACAACAAAATAGCATATAATCCCTTGTTTTTCTTCAGTCTTGCATAACTCGCACCCGTCATCAGTTTTCATTCGGCTCTCAGCATATCCATCCAAGATATCAATGAGTGCTGAAGAATATGGTATGCGAATCAATATTAACCTGTCATCTGACCTTCTTACTTAAGTCTAAAGATCTTCCATACTACAGCAGCAGAATAGTTATTACTCGGAAAAGACCAAACTTCTACTCCAATTTTCAGCTTAATGAACTGCCAAAGCAATTTGCCTTAATTGCAACAACTTTCACCAACTCCAGCTGCTGTTTAGTTGAATTGTAACCTGCCGGAGTCCGGACACTTCTTCCTTTTAGCTAAGCCTTTTGTCTTTATTAGATATTGCATTTATTTTGGATTTAGCACATTAATCCAGAATGTAGGCGTATGTACTAGAATGTGTTATTATTATTATTATTATTATTATGGATGATTACTTTGAACTTAAAGAGCCTCTACTCTTTAATCTTTTTGGGCTACCAATGTTTATTTAGATTTTATTACCAATACTTCAAACTTTTAAGATTCTTAAGTTCAGCCTAGAGTTGTTAGTATATAGCTGAGTAATATTTAATAGTTGGAGTACCCCTTTTAAAAGGAAAAAAAATGCTTTTATGTCAGGTTAGTCGCTAAGTCTTTATCAAGTTGCAAATATTAGCTACTACTGAACTTGATTTCTGTGGAAAGTTGTAGTAGCTCGGAAGCTCTCGGTCTGAAAATCTGGGTCTGGCAGACCAATTCAAATCCATGATTTGCATCGGAGGGGAGACGCCAACATCCAGCCCAGTTTGCCCATTTAATTGGAGGGCCCTTATTACATTGCTTCGTTTTACATGCTTTTTGAGGAACCTGGAGCCAGGTGACTGCTATGGCGCATAACCCTGTGGGGGTGGGGGGGTGTTTGTCTTCCAATTGGCCATGGACATGGTCCCTGCATCTTAATTTTCTTATTTTCAAAAGGTTATCAGTTCTTAGTGGAGTGGATATTGGTAATGTTAATAATATAAGTTCATTCCAAAGTATAGTTGAGAACAAACCAATACAATCCAAAATTTGATGGCAAAAATCCAAGGCCAAGGACACGTATCCTTGTGCCCCTCAGAAAAGGGAAAAAAAAAGGAAAAAAATTTAGTCGAACTGATCTTATTACACGTACATGAGCATGATACATCACCTCACATATTTCTCTTAAATCCGACAAAAAGAATGGCATATCTTCAAGGTTTTTCAGAGTGTGTTTTAGTAGCACAAGAAGAACCAAGGGTTTGATAGTTAACATAGCGGCTTGGAGCTGATGAATGCGTAGACCCCTTTGGCATGCAGCCCTTAACTTCCTTCTCATTGAAAGCCTCGTGCTTATGATTCACTTTAGGATTCATCTTCACATAATCCACGGATGCAGGCCTCATTGTGCTGGGAACACTTGATGGGATGTTGCGACCGGCCATAGCAACATCTGATGATAGGAGATAGATGAAAATGAAGCAAAATATCGTGGCAGACATTTTGGAGGGAGAAGTACTGTTTGAATTCTTTCTTTTTTTTTTTTAATGGTTTCGTTTCGTTGTGAATGGACAGGTTTTTGAAAGGGTTTAATGGGAGAGGCTTTTTTAAAGGGATAAGCAAAGGAAAGTGCCATAGAGGGTTTTAAATAGGCTCGTGAGTAGCTGAAAATAAAGAAGATATGACATAAGCCATTGCTATAGCATTTTGAAGAGTGAGGTGATGCTGAGTTGAGATGCCCGTGAGCTTCTTTTATTACACACAATCAAAGCAAAATTTCTTTAAAAAGAATTGAACTCATCAAAACTGAAACATCAATAAGCTTCACCCAAATGTATGATAGTAATAATGAAATACCGAAAAACATGAAAAACCTGGAACCCTGAGTCGAGATTTTCTAATTGAGGGCTGCATTTAAAATTAGCAAGCTGAAAGAGGCAATGTAGTTGATCTAGGAAAAGTTGAAAATCTTACAACAACTTTCTAAAGTCAACCTTAATCCCCTTTTGGTCTGCGAACATGGACACATTAAATATATAGGTCACTTGTCATATGTAGTTGATTGGTGAATCCAAGCTGAGGCTACACTTCAAAGTTCTGAAGATCATAATTTCACCTGTTGCCTTAGTTTCATTTCATGACAATCTTTTCTTTTTCTTTTCGTGTTCACTTGCATATATAATTTGCATATTAATAAAAAAGAAATAGTTTTAAAGCATCCGACAATTCGACTTTCATAGCTCCTACCCATAATAACTTGCAGCAAAACTAGATAATTGGTTCATGGCGGCTGGTTGGCAAGTATCTAGCAAAATAAGTATTGATCAAGTCACTTAGCAGTGAGAGAAGATGCACTGTTAAATGAAAGTCAAGAAGAGGTTTAATTTTCAATTTTTAAACCATTTATGAGATGTTGACATTTATTGGAGACTAGTTTCCACGGTGCAAATTGGAGACTAGTTTCACGTTTTGCCTATGCATCTTTAAGTTTCGTGCCAATATGCATTGAATGGCCGTCCAGAATTTGTGGCCCTTCAAATAAATTCTCATCAAAATTTCAGCTGGTAGGAACATAAAAGTATATGCAGTAAAAACTTAGTAGTTACTGCTATAATTGTTCAGAAACTGAAACCAGAAATCAAGAACCTTCATTGGTCAGAGAGCAAATTTTGATATACTGAACACCCAAGGCATCCAGAAGGCTTACACTCAGGGTTTCCATAATTAAGTGTTGGTAAAAGTTGGATTTAATTATGGTTAATAATGTAAAAGCTCAAGTTGAGACCGTGGTATATCCTAGATGAGAGATGGCATGATCCCAGCAGTCTTTAATCACCTTAAAGATAATAGAGCTGTAAAATTAACATAAGAATGTCATGAAAAGAAACTTCAAGAATAAGGTTAATTTTATCCTTTTCTTGTCTGGAACTAAAAGAAAATTGCTAAATTTTATCCTTGGCAGTTGGCTCTGATCTATTAGCCATGACATGAAAAAGAATGTCCGCAGGTTGATGTCTGGATGATTATTGTTGGATCTCTAGTTCTTGTCAATTATAGGTGTACTCAACAATTTATGAAACTCAATGGAAGTATTTGAGCTTTAACCATTACAGACTTCCCAAGAAATGGAGCTACTGCACAAAGTGTTCTTCCAGTCGATTTTGTAGTCGCTGTGGAGGAAGTGGAAAGTTAAGCTACTAGTTTTGCTCTAATCATTTTGCTGCTTCAAACAACGTTGTTGTTTTCGCCCCAAATGTTGCTGCCCCGTGGCAGATTGGAATAGATTGAGTTGACCCTCTTCTATTTCTTTTAATAAATTGATGATGTAAATAATATTATTTTTTCGCTTTCAGAGATCATATAAATGCCTTGTTTCATGCACCCAAAGAACCGATAATAAAGTGAAAATTTTGTTATTATAAATATAATTTCCAGTTTTATCTTATTAAGCATCCAATTTAATATTAACTGACAATAAATAAAAAATTCAATTTGAATATAAAATTACAAAATATGAGACAATATCACTTTAACAGGCCCATCACGTGTAGACAAAAATGAAAAAAAATTTTCACGTGACAAATTTTAAAAAGAACGATAAAAATTTTTTTTTGACTCTGATATTATAATAAGTATTTCACTTACTACTAATTAATAATAAGTGAAAGAATCATACTTAAATATAAGATATTAAGATGTGAAACAGTATTATTTTAACGTATTTCACACTACAATAAATCTTTATGTTTACAATTCTAGAATACCTTTACATGTTCTATAATTGCAGCCAATTCGCTTTGGGTTCTTAAATTTAATATGTTACCACTAAGCCTCATAAACATAGTATTTTTTTGTCTGTCAGGTTGAGTTAAACTAATGCATTATGATAATCAAGAAGACTTATCGTCCCATTTTTATTGAGAAAACCAAATTTTCAATGCACATACGAGTCTATATTCTTCATTAGCAATCAAAGTACAAAGAAAGAGAAAGTACAAAAAGCATATTTTTATACACTGGCTTGCTGAAATGGATTTTCTAACTTCATAATTCATCTGATAGCTCATAAATTACAGAGTGAAAAGTAAAAGGGGGAAATTAAGAGAACAAGTCTGCAATTAATACTACAGCAGAGCAGTTATTTCCCCCATTATGGAAAGTGCAACAGGGCTACAGGAATTGTGCAAACCACAGCCATAGCAGCCATCAAAGAAAGACCTGCGGCTGTTGATAATCTTGAGCTAGAGAAAAACAATAGCTGTGTCAATCCAGAACCCAAGTTCCCTCCTGCGCCAGTTAGGCCTGATATTAATCCCAAGGATCGTCGAGAAACAAACGGGACTACCCCAAAAGTTGCTCTACAAGCAGCTTGAGTCCCAAGAGATAAGCATCATTGCCAAGACAGCAATTGGAAGTGAACCAGCACGACCAAGCCAGATGCAGAAGACACCTTCTAGAGTTTGGAAGAACCAAAGGATCCATAGCCTGCCTCTCATGTCAAACAATCTTCCTGCCATATCAGAGGCATAACCGCCAAAGAGATGGGCAAAGAAGTTGGCCATGCCAAAGCTAGCGGCTATAGTCCCAGGCTCCCAGCAGTGAGAAGCTCAAGATTAAATCTGTTGCACATAAAAAATAATAATAATAAAAAAATCATATCGTTATGGCTGGTTCGTCATTTGTGACATAAAGGGACAGAAGATATATGGTCCGGATAGTACCTGTAATAAAAATATCCTGATAAGACATTGTTAACAGTCAATTCAATGCCCGTAGAAAACCCATAAAGGAGGAAAAAGATCCACGTTCTGTAGTTTGTGATGTCGTATCGAAATATCTGATCAAGAAAAGCAAATCAGCACCATATATCGTTGGATCATATGAAGTTATAAGAGAGTGGTATTAAAAAAACTTTACCTTGGAGAACTTATCTTTGGCAACTTCACCCTTCTTCCGTAGAGCACTAAGGTTTCCATCAGGCAAGTCTTGGCCAAGAGTTAGAACCAAGATACCTATAATGACATGATGAAAACACCCAGGAATGAAAAAGGCAATCCTCCAGGCAGTGAATTGAGTTGCACCAGCTAGCCTGAGTAAATGATAAGCTAAGGGCATCAAGAGTTGAGTGACTCCACCGCCCATAACACCCCATCCACCTGCACATCCATTGACAAGCCCTATAATCTTGCCATTGAACATTATTGTTGTCCAATACTGACATGACACATGTTGCAAGGCAAAATCCGATCACAACCGGGCGGCTAAGTATCCCTGGGCACCAGAAACAAAAGACATGCTGAATACAGTTGGGGCTGATAGCATTAGAAGAAATGCAGTTCCATATCTTGGACCAATTAGGTCACAAACGGCACCTATCACTAGCCTGGAGAAAATGCTTCCTGAAACGGAAGCAAGCCCAGCATTGCCAATATCTACTGGTTTTAAATCAAGATTATCACGAATGATGGGAATAAGGGGTGTTGCTGCAAAAGTAGAGATAAAAGAGATGAAAAAGGAGATCCCAGCTAGGTGAAAGGTTCTCATGTGAGGTTTAGCAAAGGAAAAGACTTCGAAAACTGTGGCCCTATGCTCTGAATCAACAAGCAGAGCAAATTTGGCCATGGTATCAATTGGGAAAGCACTAGATGATGCAACTGAGGAGGCAAAACTTTGTTCTCTACCCGTTACTCCATGCATGGAAGTCCCTAAGGTACCTTCATTTTGAGCCATTTTTTCAATGTTTTTGTTTTAGAAGAAAATACGCAAAGAAAATAGGAAAGTCTCTTGATGTTGCTTGATTGAGGGTACTTGGGTGATATGATATTTATGATTGAACTAAGTTCTAATTAACTTTAAAAACCATTTGGGTACAGTTCTCTTTCTTATCTTGACACTTTTGTTTCAAACAAAGAAATTAAAAACACAAGTTAGCGTTTAAGTGGATAATATAACAGTTACTTGCATGAAAATAGGAAAAGAAATGGGAATGATAACAACCACAACCGATAGATAAGCTTATCAAAACAGAATATATATAAGCACTCAACCATAAGAATCCAGCTCAAGATTATATCAAGAGGCCAGATTATATCAAGGGGCCAGAAAGTTTGAACTATGATCAATATATTATCATGCAGAGATGGCACTGACTTATGCAACTCCAAAATATATGGAAAACATTGTTTGAATGCTTTTGTTTGCGTTTGGAAGATAGTACCCACCGTAAACCAATATAATATTGTATGAAATATTTCTCAGATTTCATGCATCCAACCAATTCCAAATGCATATCAACTAATAAACAAACACATTTCATCTATTTTGATCAATCTCAGAACAAAAAAGAAAATTGAAGAATGAAGATAAGCTTGAGGGTAGTCGGCTCATCTCGAAGCACCTGTTTCTATCAAAGGTTGATAGCTGGTAAACGGATGATTCAGGTGTTAGCAATATAAAAGTTTTCTCATGTAATTAAAAATAACATAAAGCTATTTTATAATGGCAAATGGAAATTGGCAGGCATACCCATCAAAATGAACCAATCGATTAATCCAATGTCCACAAATACAAGAGCTGTAAGTTTAGTACCATACTTAGCTAGCAAACAAGCTCACAACACCATAAATACTGGTTAAAAAGAATAACGAGAAAGCTTTATATGTATAGCAACTCGACCTTCACAACATAACTGATATTTCAAGTCAAATGTTAACTTTCAGGTTCAATGGACAACCCCTAAGTCATCAACTACCGTGAAACCAAGAAATATTCTCAGCTAATTCGGTATTTAAGTCTATTGCAACTAATTCCATCACAAGGGCAAACCACCAACCAATCCGATGAGAAGGTCTATTCTCTATTCATATTTTAAGTACTGGCACTCCCCCTTCTCGGAACTGGTTTGTATAGCACAACAGTAACATACTTAGAAAGGAAGCGGTGAGTGAATCCAAGTGCCACAACAGATCTTGGTGCCTCCGGGTTTTCAATGTAAAGGTGATTTAGAATCACATTTTCTGGCGAAGGAAGATCCTCAGAAGCATTCATGCTTGCGGGGTAGCTAAGCAAGGTACGATGCAGGTGTGGAGGAACAATTGGTGGGTCCCGTGCATCATCTTCATTCCCAGGGTACACATTATTATAACTTGAATCAGGTGATCTTGGCACTTCAAACCCCATGACAGTTGGTTCATCCTGCACAAAAGACGGCATGTTTAAACTCTTCAAATTTTTAATAGTCCAAATAATCACCAAGATTCCATGGCTTACTTGATCTTCACCAAATTGTTTATTCATACTGAGAAGTGACACGAGAGGCTAACAGGGCCAAATCATAAATAGAGCAATATCATAACACAAGTGAGCCTGAAATAAAGCAATTATTTCTAATGTAAGCATTTCAAAGTTTAACAAAGCAACATTTAAAATTAACAACTAAAGAAACATACAAACACCTATAATTTTACAAAGAAAAACAACCATGAAAATTTCAAGAAGGCCCAATCAAACAAGAATGAGCAATACTGAAACATCTTGTCCGAATGAAAGTTTGCCCAGGCCAACTAAACCCCGTTTCTTTGCAGTCAAGAATATAAAAGATGAGGCTTTAAGATCATCAGCTATCTTGAATTGATTTCTATAAGACTAGAAAACACATTCTGGCTCCTACAGAGTTCAGTATGCAAAATGCAAATCATCTGAAGTCGCTACTAGCATGTTTGTTAATATGGAGCTGAGAAACATCTAACTTATCTGTGTTTAAGCCCCACATACTCGGATCAAAAAATTAGTCCCAAAGTCTTCATTTCATCCAAATCAAAGAACAGCAAATGGATAGTGCTAAATCTGATAACCACAATTCTCGCTGATGGATTCCTAAACAAGTGTCATAACATCTAAATCAGAGAATCCAAAATTCTTTGAGCATTAATCAGATTTTGTTTCATTCTTCATGAAGCATAAATATTACTAGTAGTTAAGCTAGCCAGAAATTGCAGATCGTGAGATAAACTACACAGCAATCAGACCACTCAACAAATTTCCTACTGTGAATAGCAAGTGCAGAAGACAGCAAAATGCAGCACAGCCACCTTGTAAAAGAATGAAGCATGTGAACTAAGATGACTGCGGGATAAAGTTTCAAAACAGATTGCAGAGAAAATGGAAAAATAAAAAAAAGCCATGGTTCATTAACACCAACAGAAATGTGACAAAAAGATTAGACTATATCCCAAATTCCTAATAAGGAGGGGGGAGGACAGAGAATGAATCATATGTGATGCTGTAGATACTAGAATCAGATGGGTCACTATCATAAGCAAAAGCCATTCAACATAAGCATCAAGAATGGTCAAAGTATCTTAAGTTGTCTGAGAAACAACGAATCATTTAGAGAGTATGAGAAAAGCATATTTACCTAGCCCACGGGAAACATAACAAAGGTAACAGTCACACAGATGAATCTTCTTTTTTAGTAAAAATGTACTTATAGATGACATTCAAATGTATTTTACAGGTTCACCTGTGAACTAAAATGTATTCATCTTTAACAGGCAAATCCATGTCTGTTCATTGATGCCAGGTCTTTATCCAGAAAATATGTCTTTAAGGCTTCTAAATGGAATCATCCACAACCTACCACAAATAGTTTATAATCATTTCAAAGATCTTTTTATATAAGCAATAAAATTCAGTCTTATTTAAGAACATTAGAAAAACATTGTTGTTTTTGATAGAAGAGCTCTGTGATAAATTAAAGGATTCAAATAAATCCTGGTTTTATTTCAATGCAACAAGAGAGATATCTTTTGGCATTAAGTCAGAATCAAAGCCACATTGCCAAACTTTGGATGGTAAAATAATAGGGGACCCGGAATCTCTATACTTAAGATTTCCTTTACCACAAACATCTGTTGAGGTTATTGCATCAACAACCAAAGCTCCAAAGCCAGAACTTATAAAGTTCTGTTCATATATTCTATTGAATTGTTCTATACAATTTCATAGCTTGATAGGCAACAAAATCCCCACAAGTCTGTGAAGCATCAATTCTACACAACTACTAAACGTGCCCTTATGCAATCACTCTTAGGGCATTGTCTAACCAATGTTTATAAAAAGAGTGCTATAACATTGAGAACATAAATATCTTCAAAGCATACAATGCAGAGCTATCCACATATCTTATTCGAACCCAAAGAAAACAGCTCAATTAAAGCATTAAAAGAAACAGCAGACACAAGATAAAATTCCACAGAAAGCTACAAAGAAGAAACAAAAGTCCTTACAACATTAAAGCCAGAGAAATTAACTTGTTGAATAACAATAAACAAGAGACTGACCCGATTTGATAGTGGCCCAATCCCCTTCAATCACCGAAATCCCAGCTTTTCAACACCACGTCTCTCCTTAAAAAACCAAAATTTACAGCAAATCAATTGAATAATTTATCACTGTCAGCAAGCTTACCTGCAAAACTAAAGCAAACCCAGATTAAATCAAATGCAACCCATTAAAATCTTAGCAAAAAAAAAAACCCAACAATTTAAACCCCTAAAATTCACTGAAAACCTATAAGAAAATAAAATTCAGCTCAAAGAAAACAAAAACAAGATGGGGTTTCAAGAAATAAGAAATAAGAAATAAAAGATACCAGACTGTGAAAAGAAGAGAAAAAAAATACATAGAAAGAATGGCTTACCCTGAGAAAAAAGAGAAAATTTTCCAGAAGAAAAATAAAGGGAAAAAATAAGTTATTGTTGGAGAAAACCACAAAAATAATAGAGTAGCTAGTGGTGAGGGAATCCGCCACAAGAATCTGCCATGAATATTGGTTTACTATGCATCAATCAATGATAATAAAATAGAAGATAAACAAAATTTCCCCTTTATGGGTCTGGGGTTTTTGGTCATTTACTAGAGAATAACATGAAGGCCCCAAATTTGGACTGTAGCCCAAGCTCATTTCTCCTAATATATTACACCCAAGACCAAGAATGGCAACGAGTTCAAGCCCAAATTTTCTATTTGAGCTATTAGGCTAACCCAATAGTGGATGGATCTGGGGTTGATCGGCTAACCATGGGAGCTTGATCCAAAGCACCAGTAAAGCTTGTACGGTGATCAGAGATTGTTCAGTTTTTGGTATCTTCCTGTACAATTATTGTTTGAACGGAAGAATATAGTGGACCAACCAACTAAGGTAATTTTATTTTTTTTCAGAGACAGGATGTATTATTAATTCAAAATCAATTGGTTTGAATTAACATGAAATCTCATATAACACATATTCAATATCCAAATTTCTTGATGTGAGAAGTTTACCTAATGTGAAGCGTGAGTCCCATTTAGCTGAAATGTTCAGACACTACTTTTGATAAGTTTATCGCTGGCGGCTTATAGGGGCAAAGAGATCATATATTTTATATTTTCAGTTTAAAGATAAAATATGCTATTAATTCAAAATCAATTGGTTTGAGTTCACGTGAAACTTCATATAAACCATAGTACACACACCCAAACTTCCCAACATGGGAAGCCACAGGTAATTTTGAGATGTAGTCCTGCTTTCATTTTGATGTTTCAATAATTGATGCCAATAAATAAGGGTAGCAAGCATGGATGTAAGGAAGAAGCATGCTATCACAAATAATTCATTTTCGTCCACTTCACTCTAGAGCCACTTCACTCTAGAGCTATATATATATATATATATATATATTGTTTTCCTTTTAGTATGTGTTTCACTCAATTTTATATCTCCCCTTGCGTTATGAAAGGTATATATCGACTAATCATCATTACTTCTGAATGTGTCATCCACAATGGCTTGAAAAACAGCCGAATTTCAAACGAATTCTTTGTTCTTATTATCTTATTTGGATTGCCTGGTGATTAAGCTTAAATTGTCCATCACCATTCCTTTGGATGGGTACAATCTAAGAATGATACATTGTCATACGCCTAGAAACTGATTTCCAGGACGAATACAATTGGTGGATTGTAGCGAACACACTTCACTATTTTCCATAACTATTATCTCACTCTCCTGTTTGCATGGAAGTCTACAAAGTACAGCTAATCCACCCAAGAAATTATTCCATGCTGACACAGTACAAGTTAATAATATATGTATATGTATATATATAGATATATATATATATATATATATATATAAATAAAGGAGGATCAAGTAGTCTTGTTCTTGAAACCTGGTAGGGGCTAGCTTTTATTCCTCATGATTCCAAGTTGCTATTTTATTAAAAGTTTTGCTAGGACTTGGAACAGCTGATTAATTTGTCAGAAACAACAAGAGGAGCATAAATTAACCACCACCCCCGGCCCCTCCCCTGGATACGGGCTGGTTCCTTGAAATGCATCTTCATTTGCACCATAAAATCCAAAGAAGAGATTGTGCCCTGATGTCAAGATGCAATACGATCATATTATTTTGAAGTAAACTCAAAAATAATATGAAACTTTTTTTTTAATCATTCTAATATTTTTCAATAAATTGATATAGTCTGTCAAGTAAAATCTATATCATTAATCTAACTAATAATACATCTCTATATATCCAAATACAAACTATATGAAAATATAAAACTGTTTTATAAGATCTCATTGACCAATATTGTCTTCAAAGACTAAGTAATCTTTCTCATTTGATCTTCTAACTTTTACAAAATTAAACAAATTTATTATTTACTCATCTGTAAAGAAAAAGTAAAAGAAGAATGAGAATGAGCAAACCACAGCTCAGTAAGTATAGGCTCACATACCTTATCAGATCAAGCATCGTCTTTATACATATTATATAGATCATTCAAAATACTCATCAAATCATAATGTCAAAACATTCTAAAAATCATAATTATGTCAAATATTTTCAATCAATATCAAAACATGTCAATTCATGAATTATGAATCATAAATCATGGTTAAATGCATATTTCATACAAATCATGGATCAATCTTTAAAATCATAATAAATCATCATTATCATTTATTTATCGTTAGCTATGGTCACTATTATAACCCGTGACATTGGTCGTATCAACAATTTCACTCTAATGACCATTGCTAACTATTATAATCCGCTAGCCATGACCTTATGCTGACTACTATAATCCATTAGCAGGGCTGTATGATCATGTCTATGCTAACTATTATAACCCATTAGCCAGGATTGTAGAACTAGTTCTGGTGTCGATGATCCCACTTTTCAGGGATGTAAAAACGTAATTATCATAAAATCATTCCTTAAACATAAATCATTTTCTCATTTCATTCATAAGCATGATCCATCATTTATATAGAAAAACACAAAATAATCATATGCTTGGTCCTATTTTCATATATAAAAAATAATGAAATAAAATATTTACTCATTAAGAAACACATATATATATATATACATAAGTTCAAAAACAAGTAAAGTGTATGAAATTCTACTTATCTTTTTTAATTTCATTATTTAGTTTTTTTTTCATAATAATTAATGGCTTATTCAAGATAATTTCAATATAACAGTAATTAATCAACCCATTTGAGACCACTTATACCAAAACAACTAAGTTAAACAAGAAATAACTCAAGTAACTAATTTTGGCAGCTTGCATTACTTTCACTAAAATGACTATATCTCAAGATATCCAACTTAGAATTAAAATCCTTTTAATGCTTTAAAAACTAGACTCGATAAGGTTTCTAACCATATATGGTCCATTTTGTGATTCCTTGCGGATTAATTATAACAATTTTTGAAATCCACATCATATGTTGTTATCAGACAGCCTGTATACCTTTTCATAAAAATTACATATTTATTCATAGAAACTCCAAATTCAATTCAGCTTATTCTGTTGGAAAGTAGACTCAATATGCTTTCCAAACATATATGGCTTAATCTATAATTCCTTGTATAAAAACTAAGACAATTTTTGAAATTCAACCCTGATGCTACTACCTTATAGCCTGCATATCTTTAAGTAAAAATTAGACAACTCTTCATAAAAAACTCAGATTCGACTTTTATTTATTTCATTAGAAAGTAGATTCAACATGCTTTCCAACGCTATATAATAATCATAGCAATAATTTATCCATTGATACAAAATCCTATTTTAATTCACTATTATAGATTATAAATCTCATCTAAAAATAAAATTTCTCATTTAATCTTTAAAAATTTAAATCCCCACTTTCAGCCTTTAAACTCCATTCAATAATCATTAATAAATCTTAAAGACATGAAATAAATAAAGTCCAGTAATTTACTAAAATAGATCATGAAGATTAATGAAAGATTTCATAATTTTCTTGATTTTTCTTTCAAAACTTTAACTCTATATAATAGCAATCAACATGATATTTTTTTTTTAAATAAAAAGATAGTATATACTCACCTTTAGGAGATTAACTTGATTTTAGCCTCTACTTTTGAATCACCAACTTGATTTTTCATATTCCCTAATCTTAAAGAAAATGAAAAAGAAAGACTCTTATTTTCTTTCTGTTTCTCAATAGCTAAGTTTTTTTTTCATTTAATATATCAGTCCTTTTTTTTACTAATTAATCTCTTAATAAACTGATGGGCTTTGGTATTAGTCTAGCCCAATTATTATTTGGGCTGGGGTATCACATACATATATACAAATAATCCCGCATTGACGATAAAATAAAAATTTAAGAGATTTTCGATCTAAAAAACTATGAAATGGGTCAAATTAATATTATTGCCAAGCATAGCATATGGGAATTATTGTTAGACTTTGTGATTTTCCTATAGTAGAATAATAGTTTTAGAAAATTTTTCATCACTAATGTTAACTTTTTGAAATCTTATAATGGTGTCAGTTGTTTAGTCAAAAACCATATGAAACTCGTTTGAAACAAGGAGACATATCTTAACTATTACATCTAATGTTTTTGTATAAATGATATGATAGTCAAATGAAGTACTAAACTGTGTTCCTAGCTCATATCTCTTATTTTGCTCTCTATGGTGCTCATTTCATTTTTTTTTTCTCAGTATCATAGCATGGTATCAGAGTATTAGAAATGATCTTAAAGGCTATAAGTTAGAGTGCAAATCAAAAAAATTTCCTTTCTTAAAACCTTAAAACCTTTAGAACCTGTTACAATTTTGCATCTCTATCACCTCTTATTTTTACAGGAAAAATTATCCCATTTGGTCAGTAAAAATGAAGTCATATTTGAGAGTATTTGATTTATGGAAAGTAATGGAAACAGTGAGAGATCCATTACCCTTAAGAGCAAATCCAACAATTGCTCAAATTAAATAACATAGTAAGGAAGTTTCAAAAGATACAAAGCTTTATCTTGCATCCATTTAGCTATGTCAGATATGATTTTTATAAGAATAATGACTTGTGAAACAACCAAAGAAGCATGAGACAAACTTAAAGAAGAATTCCATGGGAGTGACAGAACAAGGCAAATTCAAGTGCTCAACTTATGGAGGGAGTTTAAGGTTTTAAAGATAAAAGACACTGAGACTGTCAAAAAGTATTTTGATAGACTCATAAAGGTGATTAACCAACTAAGGCTGCATAAAGAAGAATTGTCATATAAAAGAATTATTGAAAAGGTGCTTGTAAGTGTTCATGAGAGGTTTAAATCAAAGATTTCCTCTCTGAAATATTTAAAAGATCTATCTAAGCTTGTTTTGATAGAAGTTATGATGTTTTTTAAGCTTTGAAGCAAATAAAAGCTATCAGACTTGAAGAAGCATCAAAAGAAGCCTTTCAAGCAAGGTTCAAAAAAAAACATGCAATCAATAATAAAGGTAAAAAGTAATCTAAAGTAAAAAAAAAAATAGATGGCAATAAATGGAAAGATAAGAGAGGAAGGTATCCACTTTGTCTTTAATTCAAAAAAAAAATCACATTGGGAACTACTGCTGGTTTAGGCTTGAAGTTAAATGTAGAGTATGCAACTAGCTTGGTCATGTGGAAAAAATTTGTAAAAACAAAGCAAACTAGTAAGGACCACAAGCTTAAGTTACTGAAAACCATGAAAAATATGAGGAAAAGTTTTTTATTGCTACATTTTATGCAACTAATAGTAGCAAAAAAGCTTGATTGGTAGGTAGTGGTTGCACCCATCACATGACCCATGATGCTAGCATCTTCAAGGAGCTAGATAATTTCTATATCTCAAAAGTGAAGATTGACAATTGGGAATATGTTGATGTCAAAGTAAAATGTGTTGTTGCAATAAAGACTCCCTTAGGTACAAAACTCATTTATGATGTGTTGTTTGTGCTAAAAATGAGTCAAAGGATAAATGCTTGAAAAATATTATGTCCCTACATTTTAAAAACATGTCTTGCATCATATTTGATCCATCTGGTTGTGAATTGATGTTAACAAAGATGAAATAAAAAAGTTTTTCAATTGAGTGGAAATAAACAAAAATGCATGCTTACTTCAGTGCAGTAGATGATTTTGATTTATAGCACAAAAGGCTAGGCCACTTTAGTTATTCAACTTTGAAGAACACGTATGTGAATAACTTGGTTCAAAATTTATGTAGCATACATGATAAAAATGATATATGTGATGTATGTCAATATGACAAGCAAAAGAAGCTGTCATTTCCACCTAAAACAAAATTTAAAAGCTTAAAAAAAGTTACGACTGATGCATACTGATGTGTATGGTCCAATGAAGACACCATATTTGAAAGACAACAAATATTTTCTATTATTTATTAATGAATTTACAAAGATATGTTGAGTCTTTTTCTTAAAGCAAAAATCATAGGTGTTTATTGCATTTCAAAATTTTAAGTTTTTGGTTAAAAAGTAAGCTGACCGTCAAATTTTAAAGCTCAGGTCTGATAATAGAGTTGAGTACACCTCATGGGAATTTAATAAGTTCTGCGAGCAAGCTAGGATTGAATATCAACTAATTATTTGTTATACTCCTCAACAAAATGGTGTGAGTCACAAGAAAAATAAACAATCATAGAAATGACGAGGTGTCTATTGTTTAAAAAGAACCAGCTTAAGATATTTTAGACTGAGACAGTTAATACCTCAGTTTATTTGTTGAATATACTGCCTACAAAAGCATTGCAAGGCAAAACTCCTTATGATGCATGGCATAGAGTAAAGCCTTCAGTTGAGCATATTAAAATATATGGTTGTGTTTGCTATGTTCATATACCCGATGTCAAAAGGGATAAATTAAATCAAAAGGCAAAAGTTAAGATATTTATGAGGTACAGTAACAATTCTAAAAGGTTATAAAATCTATAATGTAAAATTTGAAAAAAAATCTTTGTTAGCAGAAATGTGAAGTTGGATGAGCTAGCAAGTTGGAATTGAGAGAAAGAAGAAACCATAACCTCTAGTCAATCTAAAGTTCGTTAGGAACAACATGAAGAACCTGAAAATGATACTAAAGTTTCAATCAAAGGCACAAAAACTATAGAGGAGATCTATGTCAGATGTAATCTAGTTGCTTTAAAACCTTTAAGATATGATGATGCTGTAAAAGTAAATGATTAGAGGGCTGCTATGAAGGAGGAGATCAATATGATATAGAAAAATAAAACCTGATAACTTATTGATAGATCATGTAATCAAAAGGAGATTGGAGTAAAATGCATTTACAGAAACAAACTAAATCCAGATGGTTCAGTAAACAAACTTAAAGTCAGATTAGTTGTTAAAGGTTATTCACAACAACAAGATGTTAATTTTTCAAACACCTTTGCTCCCATGGCAAGACATGATAAATCAAAATTTTAGTAGCCTTGGCAGCTAAAATGGGATGAAAAATTTATCATTGAGATGTGAAATTAGCATTCTTGAATGGATTGCTTAAAAAAGATATTTATGTTGAGTAACCAGAAGGTTTTTACATTGTAGGTAATGAAGATAAAGTCTACAAGCTTTACAAAACTTTTTATGGCCTAAAACAAGCACCAAGGGCTTGATACAACATAATTGATGCCTATTTCCTATAAGAAAGCTTTAAAATAAGTGAAAGTGAAGCTACTCTACATGTAAAAAGGTCTGAAACTGAAGTGCAGCTTATCGTGTCATTATATGTGGATGACTTGTTAGTCATAGATGGTGATGAATGTTCTCTGAAGCAATTCAAGTTGAATATGAAAAAAGAGTTTGAGATGTTCGGTTTAGGTGAAATAGATATTTTCTTAGAATGGACATCTATCAAGATGATATCAGGACTTTCATTGCACAAAAGAAATATGCTTTGGAGATCTTGAAAAAATTCAATATAAAAAAGTGCAAATCAGTGGCTACACCATTAGTGGCTAATGAAAAATTATCAAAGAATAACATGGCAAGCAGGGTTGATGCTTCTGTATACAAAAGCTTAATTGGGATTTTGTTGTATTTTTCAGCCACTAGACCTAATATAATGTACTCGGCAAGTTTACTTTCAAGATTTATGCAATCTCTTAGTCAAGTTCACTATGGTATGGCTAAAAGAGTTTTGAGATATATCATAGGTACAGTTGATTATGAAATATAGTACTTAAAGAATGAAAGTAATAAGCTTGAAAGATATGCAGAAAGTGACTAGGATTGAAGTGTGGATGATTAAAAAGCACTTCAAGTTATGTTTTTTCTTTTGGCAGTGGTGTTTTCTCCTAAAATTCAAAAAAGCAAGATGTGGTGGTTTAATCTTCAGCTGAAGCTGAGTATGTTTCTACTGCAGTAGTAGCTAATCAAACGATTTGGCTTAAACAAGTTTTGAAATATTTGGAGTAATACCAGAATGAAGCTACTATAATATGAATTGACAACAAATTTGTTATAGCTATCACAAAGAATCTAGTGCAACATGGCAGAACTAAGCACATCAATGTGAAATTTTATGTAGTTAGAGAAGTTAAAAAACTTGGTGTAGTAAATTTAATGCACTGTAACTTTGAGTACCAAATTCCTGACATAATGACCAAAGATCTTCTAAAAGCAATGTTTGAATTTCTTGGGGCTAATCTTTGAGTTTCAAAGAAAAAAATCAATGAAAAGTGTTAGACATTGAGATTTTCTTATAGTAGGATTATAGCTTTGGAAATTTATCCATCACTAATGTTAACTTTTTGAAATCTTGTAATGGTGTCAATTGTTTAGTCAAAAACCATGTGAAACTCCTTTGAAACAATGAGACATATTTTAACTATTACATCTAATATTTTTGTATAAATGATATGATAATGAAATGAAGTACTAAAGTATGTTCCTCACTGATATCTCTTATTTTGGTCTTGACAATGCTCATTTCATTTTTCTCTTTCTCAATATCAAAACAATTATCTCTTTTTTCTTCTAGTTCATAAGTGATTTATTGAATTTCAAATACAAACCCTACAAAATTAAGGAAAATTGAAGTTTTCTGCAAACCCTAAGTACATTAGCCATAGGAGTGTCTTGGCAATGGCAATTGGCTCTTTTGTTGGCTTGATAACGGATATAAAAGATTGATGAATGGGACCAATTACGCTTCATGTACTCTTTAACAAGACAATGACATCTACAATATATAACTTGAATTTGAAAAGTAAAAAAAAAAAATCAAAGTACAATCTTTTTCAATATAAAATCTTCAAAATCAAACTTTTTAACTACTTGCCTCTCTCCATGACCCTTTCTCAGTTTTCGCCATTTGAACCACCGTGCTTCCCACTTGACACTTCCTCCCCCACACTTCCTTATTTCTTTTTCTTCCTTCAAGTAAGCATTCGAACCACATAACTTTCTCAACCCTTTCTTTTCTCAAAATTCTTTCAAACTTCAACTTTTATCACCATCTTTGTAAATTAAATATTACTTAGTACTACTAACAAGAAAAAAGTTTATTAAATTTATAAACCAATATTCTTTTTAAAGTCATTAAAATGCGAGGCACAGGTGTTCATGCAAGTTTGTACTGCATGCAAGACGTAATAAAATTTGTTACTTTTCGTGTATGATTTCTTGGTTTTCTTTTGCTTCACAATTCGTAATAATGTAGAATGAGGATGTTATGTAATGAGTCAGTTGATTGAAGGAAGCGAAATCAGAGAAATGAAAGATCAAAATAGAGAGAAGAGAAAGTTTTAAAAAATAGAATGAAATTGTAAATTTTCATTCACATTCTTCAATCGCGTGTACAAAGTGATTATATTCAATCTATGTGCTGACATCATAATTCTAAAATTTATCCAATAAAAATTTAGCACATAGTAATAATAATTCAATAATCAACTAATTATTTTTATTCTGTCAACTCTTATAATAGTTTCCCAACATCCTCATTTTTATTGCTTCTTATTATGTGACTGATTCAAATATTTTATCATCTTTTTATAATTAATTTCTTCCTTTATTTTAACATTTTCAGCCAACTCAATTTTTTGTCTACCTCAACCTTTTTAGCTACCTCAGCTTTACCTTGTGACTCTGACTTCATTGTGCTAATATGATCACCATGCAATTTCATCACAGAAAAAAGGTCAAATTAAGATGTGAAGTACACGAATGGGCGAAGTGGCTAAAATGTCAAAGGCGTGGCACATTTTTTACTCTCTAAAGGCCAATCATCATTTTATGGCGAACCGCCTACCTTCTATCTATCCAATCACTAACTCACAAGGTGACAAAAACGATATAGCTAGCAAGCTACGTATTATGTATGATGTGCAATTCATCATTCCATTTTGAAGCAAAAGCCTAGTCAATTCAATTCCTTATTGGTTAGCTTTTCTACTCTACATTGTGGGGCTGGGCTCTAAATATTTCTCAATTGAAAAAACCCTTCAAATCCCATGATTGAATTCTAAATCTCTCGTCTTTTTCCTTCCTTTTCCTTTCCTTTCCTTTCTTTTGTTTTCTTGTTTAATTGTGACTACATGCATGGAATCCGCCTTTGTAAGTATATATTTTACATTGTCAAAGAAAGGGATTGGCTGCTTGTTTTTGATGTTACATTTACATCATGATTATGTTAGTTGCTAAATGCAACGTGTGCAAGATCTGTTCCATATAATTAATAAAAGATTGAAATTACAGAACAAAAAGAAAAATAAAAGTTTCATCATTGTAGAAGGGTTTTTGTGCTAGCTGTCTTTGTCCTTGATGCAGGCACTTTAACTGCTGATCTCCATTGATGGCTTTGGCATTTCTAGATGTGTTGTTGTGGAATGACAGCATGGGTATCTGATCATATCAGAATATATTTCAAGAAATATCCATTCTACCAAAAAATAAAATGTTTATGTGATTTGTTGAATATTTTGAATCAATTAAGATATAACCCTATCAAATACACTATATTTTGGCAGTTGTCCAAAAATAATAATAAATTAAAACTTTGACCACTAATGACTATGATTCCCAAATTGATTTCTTAAAATTTTCCTCATAAAGTTCATTAATTTTTAATTTAAAGGGGAATGATATTTTTTTTATCAGAATTAATAAAGGGGTAATGATAAAAAAAAATAAAAAAAATGGTGATGTGATAAATTTAATAACAGCGTCAAATTAACTTTTTAAAAAAATAAAAAAGAAAGCATCTGTTCCAATATGTATAATTTCTCCGATCATGATGATTGAAAAGAAAAAGGGCTCAAGTGGCAAACAAAATGAAAAGAAAAATCTGCACAGCCAGATTAGATCTTACGGACATGGGCCTGGTTCAGGTGGAGGCGGAATCTATCATTTTACTATTATTTTATTATTTTATTTATTTTCCAGCCATATAAAATTTTTGGCCACTCGTATCATAATTCACAACTTTAATTCCCAAATTGACTACTCATATAATATATGAATTACTAATTCACATTTTTCCAATTACAGTTATGAACTATTTTTAATTTATTTAATGTTGTAACCTCATAGATAATCAAACACTAGCGTTTGCACTTTGCATGTCTTAAGGAAATTTGTTTAGATATATTTTTGCCTTTCAGTGAATAGCTGTCCCCATTACTTATATATAAATGATATACAAGAAATATTTTTTCTTCTCCAATGAAAAATACTTAACTTCCCTCTTTTTAGTTCATACTTACATGAAAACAGGGTTTTGTTTATTAATAAAGATAGAGTTCAACTTGTTGGATGACTTCTTGAGCAGCCTTCACGTAATCACTTTATGTTTCAACCACTGGTAACAGGCCACATCAGCTGGTCCTCCTGTCTTTCTTTTTAATTTATTTTATTTTCTTTTATGTTCATCCATGATCTTTGGACCCTTTGGGAGTTTGGGTCAAACTCAAATGTTTCATCTCTCCCTCTCCTTTTATATAAATCTCATATATATTGATTTTTAGCAAAGGCCATCACTCTCTCTTTCTATATATATGTGCATGAGTATTTCGATAGACACATAGATTTGCAGTCGTTGTTTGCGGGTGTAGCATCATCAAGATTCACATGCAAATGCAAGGTTTGTGTGATAATAACACTGATGATGACTCTCTCTTACCCCCCCCCCCCCCTTCTTCCCTCTCTAATTTTATTGCCAAAGTTCTATGAAACTGAGAATCTTGATGATGCTGCATCGGCAATAAACGACTACACACACACACACACACACACAAAAAATCTCTTTCTCTCAGTTTCAAAAGCATAGTGTGCCACTTTGCAAAAACAAGGGGATTCTCTCTTTGCAAGTTTTTTTTTTTTTTCTGCTTTTGTCAGGTTGGTATAGTAATTTTCTGTTATACTATTACTACAAATTTTTCATGGGGTATTCTTTAATAAAGGTTATCTCCATAATATTATGTTCCTTCTTATTTTTTACTTTGATTGGGTAAGGTGTACATAACAAGTAGCGTCTACTATGCTGTTTCAAGCTATTGCGAGAATATCTCAAAAAGGTGAATTTTTTTTTATCAATCGATCCATGTCTCTTCTCTCTTCTTGTTGTTATCTTTGGTTGATGTAATTAAAAGAAATTAGATCCATTCTTTTAGTTTGCAGATCTTTGGTTTTGATTATTTCGTTATAGATTTTTGCTTGTGAAATTGCAGTTCTATAGGCAATGGAGCAATCTTTCCATCAGGAGATGGTACTGGTCTGATGAGCTTCGATGAAGGCGAACAAGGTGTTGGCTGGCTCCAGGAGAGTGTTTTGAGCAGAAACTGTGAACTCTGAAGAAAGGTGAGAGAAATGAGGTATTTTAGATTTGTTTCTTTATGGGATTTGATGATATCAGCTAAATAACTTACTGCAAGATTCAAAATATATTTGAATGAACTTATTTTTTTTTAAAGAAATTTTGTGGACATTCTTCCAAGTGGATTTTGTCTGTAGAATTAATAGATCGTTGAAAATTGGAACTTCAATGTGAAAGAGAATCATGGTGGGAACAAGTGTGATTGTCATTGCCTTTCTTTTGTGTTTGATAGCTTTTGCATTAATCACCCATCACTCCTTGTTGGTGGACCAACCACCAGAGAAAACGCATCTTGCAACTTGGACCCTTTTCTCTCTCTCTGAACTCTGAACACAATTGAGTCCCACCTTTTTTTCATCCCTTCAATAATACTAGTGAAATTTTCTTCATAATATTGCTTCACCAGTCATGATAAAAGTGATAACTCAGTCTACAAAATTATGGATATCTGTGTGCCTCCATCACTTTCCAAGCTTTGGTTCTCATAATCTGTGCTCTACATATGGTACATGCCCATAATTTCCCTCAGCTAGGCCAAAGCCAAACCGATTCAAAATGTTTGGACCACTGATTTATCAACTCTTACAAATATATACAATACCCTTACAAGTTCTAACTTAATAATTTTGGAAAATCTTTTGTGGTGTCTGCTTTTCAACAAAGAGAAATAAAGGGTTTAGCCAAGAAAATGATGGTATTATATCTAGCTAGCTACAACATGCATATAGCTAGAAATCAAGTTTCCTTTTGGATGTTGTAACTTCAATCAGTTAGAACTGGGTTCTTCTCTAAGGTAATTTGGATTTGGACAAGTTCTTACTAAAGCTGTTTGAGCCAGTTTCTGGTTTCAGTTTAACAGAAAAATCTTTCAGGGTTTTCTGGGTTGTCTAGCAGGTATTATATGTAGAATTTTGTAACTCGTCAGCATTGGAACTTGAGCCTTTAGCTTGTTTTGCTTCTCCAATCCGTTCTTCAATTTTCGATCCCTTTATTTCTCTGCCTGTGAGTGTAATAATCATTCACGTACGATTTCTAGTCTATTCTCATCATTTATCCTATCTCTCCACTTGTTATGTCAGTCACTTATTTGAACTCCATACTCTTATAAAATTTGTGATCATCGCCTTCTCTTATTGACATCAGATGTAGAACAATCATATCTGCAACTTTCTTATTCAATATTTCATGTTCAGAAGTTGGGAAACATTCAAGCTAACTAGCTTACAAAATATACTATCTGATAAGGGTGGATCTTTTGAATTTGACTTCTGGAAACACTTGGGTGCAGTTGTGATGTTATTCACTAGAATGCTTTTACATTCTCAATCAATAGTGAATACGAAATTTGTGTATATAAAACTCTCATCATGTGCTTTTTCTATTTTGTAATTATTTCCTTCATTAGTCCTAAAAAACACAATATTTTGGATTAGACTAATGAAGTCTCATCATCATTGATTGGTGGGTCCCCATTTTAAATTTTCTCAGATACTCCAAAAGAAAGATAGACAAGCTGATGCATATATCGTACAATGGCTCCAGCTAGTACACTTATGCAGTTATGGATACGTATTTGTGTGTCTACAGAAACACTGCATACTAATATATGGTTATTAGGTACGATACCAAGTCAGGAATAAAACTAGAAAATGTTCAAGGCAACAAGTAAAGATTAAAGCATTAGTTTCTGATGATTAGTTTTTCATCTGTAGAAATCTCCTGCAAAAGTTACTTCGCTTTAAATTTAATTTCACTTCTCGTCAAATCTGTTGGTTTACATGGTACAATCTTTGGGGATATCTTTTCTCATAGATTTTGGCCTTGCATTGTTTGTACGTATACATACATTTGCTAAATTAGAGTCATATGTAGTCGATATTATATTATTGTTTTTTTATTTGAAGTGATTAAGGTTAAACTTCGATCACCAAAATTAAAAATCTACTACTCGGTGGTATACTATATTGTTTTTCTTGTCTTTCGTTTCTCTATTTGCATTCATGGTCAAAAAGCTAAAGAATTGCAACTCAATGTGATACTCCAATGATTTCATATTAAACCCAATAGGACCCTTTTGGGATGATAAGAAATTAATTAGTTTTGATAATGCTTTAATTATTATGTGTTGGTTCAAATCCGTAACATCTTCCAGGGTTCTCCTGTTCAGCAACCATTGTTGACTATGAAGATAACAGTTTATCGAATCAAATTTTCTCATGCAGTTTTATTTAATGATGCTGCAGTTTCGATAAAACATCAGTATGTTTAATTGTATTCAAATGCTTCGACAATCATAGAAGAAAGACGTACAATTATAGCATAGGATCCATCTGGGAATCAAAGGTACATTAATATATTCTCAACAAAATATTTCATGATATCAATAATTTTTATATATGGCCCCTACTTTGTACAAAATATTCTTGCTCTAAGATTCCCAAGCCATGTCATGTTGGACTGTCAACGACAAAATTTGATGTCAAATGGTAATGGTATTTGAGAAACTCTATCACAGTTCGATTTTGATTGCTCCACTTCTTTGCTGAGTTAATGCTGTAATATAAGTTATGCTGCCATCTAATTTTTCTTGTAAGATTGATAACATGTTTGCTTATGGTCAGTACTTCTGAACCTGAGTACTGTTGAATATCGATGAAACAGTGAAACTTTATTCAATTACAAGTTCCGAATTTATTGGTGAGTAATAGTGTGTTTTTCATTATTGTTCCAGTCACTTTTTAATTGCTTTCAAAGCTTGGGAACAGGATTAGGATTTCTCCATGATTCTTTCCTTTGCTTGGTAGATTTTGCATTGTTGTCTCAACTAATTGGAAGGGAGACAAAGCTGGGAGCTCCTGCATTCGAGATCTTCACACCGCACACATCTGCAAGTACCATATAAACTCCATATCAGACTCACTCCATTATATTATTTCTGAAACTTGCATCAAAAGCTAGATGATTCATATATAATCCATGATATCGATAACTGATCTGAATCTTGGGAAAAATACAAGGAAACTATGAACTCTTGTTGATACATTTTTCTTCTTAATTCCGTAGATTGCACATTATTTTCTGATAATGAAAGTTTTAAGTTCTTGGTACATTTTTGAATGCTACGATATGACGAGCGAGAAATAATATAGATGCCTTTTGAAAAGATGCACCACACTTAATTTCAGATGTTAGCTGGTGCTTGAACAAATGATGAATGATGGTTTCCAACCCATCTTGGCTTGGAAAAGAGACTGCTAGTCTGCTACATCATGCAACAAGCGAGCCAACAAATGAATACATGGGAAATGCATGTTTCATTAACAAAAACCCTTTTTCCTGTCAAGTTTACAAGGATTGAAATTATATCCTTTTAGTCTTGTATGCATGGTTCAGTTCAAGTTCAAGAAGCTGAAGCTTATTAAGCTTCTGATCAGACTGAATACAAGTCACTATAGCTGAATCCTTCGGATAATGATATTCTCTCTCATTTTATCTCTACTCATTCTGCCCCTAGGCGTTCCGTGTTAATTCTGATAATTCCATGCATTAGCATTCCATAATCAAAGACTAAGACTTAACTATATATATATATATATATATATATATATATCTCCAAAATTTCTTTTCTGTACATGTGTTTCTGATTTAAATAAATCAAAGCTATTATTTCTTTTTCTACACATCCGTTTTAAAGAAGCATGTCTTAGGTTTTGATAATGTGATTTTTGTAGATAATTCTCAGAGGAAACATGGGCATGGCTAGCCACGCAGTGGTCTTTTCTTTGACATCTGAATCCAATCAAAGTTAATAGGGAATTGCTTGAAAAGCTATATTGTAGGCGTGAAGGACCTGTTGAGACTATTGTATTTCAAAATCGTTGAATCAAAAGTATTCATGTCATGAAAATCAGATTAGACAATTAAAGCACGCTCGCTCGGTCATTACCTATACAAATTTTTGTCCAATGAAAACTTGATCCAAACCTTTGGTTGAGTGGGTCCAAAAAACCACAATGGTCCCGAATGTTGTATTTTTGTGGTCCATCTGACAGAAACAGTGGGTATTCATGTGGCAGACATGCAAGTGAAGGACCATCTGAAATGGATCTCTGCCAACAGATCTTTCATGATTGGACATAAAAAAATCAAGGCACCCATAATAATGAATTTGAAGGGTGCAGCAGTTATTGTGATTCCTACAGCACCTCATGCTATATTAGTTGAGGGCTAAATGAAGTTGCTGGTTTTTAATACAAACTACAAAGGTGACCAAATGAGAAATACCATGAATGGAAACTTATTTTTTTAGAATCATCTAGCTCAGAATCAAGGAGAAATTTGGTCACAGTCACAGCCATCAATTATTGAGGGCAAAATAATGATGTCATGTGATAATTTCAGATGACACCAGCATTAGATATGAGGTTGCTTTTTGTTGCCCAGAAAATGCGTGTTCTTTACTGGTTTTATTATGCTTGTTAAAGACAATCGATACTTTAAAAAGGTCACGAAACAATCATCAGTGGGAAGGAATGGGCAGCCCACAGTCTCAACCCAAACCCAAAAGATAACAATCAACAAATAAGGCCCACTTTCTGATTCAGCCACAGCCCACAAACAGATGCAAAGCCGGCCGGAAACTGCCGTTGGGAACAGGCGTGACAATAAGTGGCTAATTTTAAGTTGTCAAAAAGCTCAGAATTTGCAGACTTGTTCCAAACTCCATAACCCCACAAATGACTTTTCGAAAGTTTCTCAAGACCCTGAAAGCTGTTAAAAATTGCTCCCCATCAACCCTTTCTTCAAAACCTTATCATCAACACTTACCAGACTTAATCTCCAAATTCCTAGCAATTTCCAAGCCCCTTAATGCCTCTACTCTGTCCGATCTCAATCCCACCATTTTCCATGATATCCTCGCAAACCCAGATCTCAAACCCTCCAAATGCTTCCATTTCTTCAACTTGGTCGTCAAAAACCAATCTTTGGTTTCCTTCAAGCCTGATCTCCAAGCCCACCTGACCCTTATTTCTAGGCTTCTCAAAGCCAGGTTGTTTTCGGATGCTGAATCTGTGTTAAAATCTCTGTCGATTAATGAAAATCCCAGGTACCCTTTTCTTGTTATAGCTTCTGCTGTTGAGAATTGCTGTTTTGAGTCTAAAGTTATGGCAAAGTTTTTTAATTTGATGCTTAAAGTTTACTCTGATAATGGAGAATTTGGTGAAGTAGCAAAGACTTTTGATTATATGAAGAATAATGGGATTAAGATTGATGAGAGAACTTGTACTGTTCATTTAATTGCTCTTAAGGGAGCTGATGAATTGGGCTTGGCTTTAGATTTCTTTTATCAAATGGTAGAAACAGGTCTTGAAATTTCTGTTTATTCACTGACAGCTGTGGTTGATGGGTTGTGTAGAAATGGGGATATAAAGAAAGGTAGAGAAATGGTGGAGGAGATGGCTGGTAGAGGGATTAAAGCCAATGTAATAACTTATAATACACTAATAGATTCTTGTGCAAAAAGATGGAATTTTGAGGAGTTAGATTTGGTGTTAGGTTTGATGGAAAAGGGAGGAGTGGAATTTAATATTGAGACGTATAAATTTTTGATTGATGGGTATACAAGCTATGGGAAAATCAAAGAAGCTGACAGGTTGGTTGAGGAGATGCATGATAAAGGTTTGAGAGTTGATACTTATTTGTATAATTTGATGATAAATGGCTATTTGAAATCAGGATCACTAGAGAGTGTGTTATTGTTGTTTGATAGAATGAGCAACAGATGTATAAAGCCAAATGTCGATACATATTGGCCGCTAATAAACGCGTATTCTAACGTTCGAGAAATGGAAGTGGCAATGAAGTACGTACATGAGATGCAAAATAAGGGATTTGAGTTGGACAAGGTTATTTATGATATGTTGATTGATAGATTTTGCCTGAATGGGATGGTTGATGAAGCTTTTGAGTTGCGAATTGAGATGGAGAGGAAAGGATTTCATGCTGACATATCTTTATGTAATCAGATGGGGAAATTATTGTGTGAAATGTATCAGACTGAGAAAGCAAAGATGCTGCTGAACATAATGATTAAAAGGGGTATATGCCCTAAATCGCTAAGCTTCACATCCGCAATCAGCTAATAATTCATAGAAAGAAATTTAGTGGAGTGGGATGCTGCTTCATGAGATGCAATAAATAAAGGGCTTAAAAACTGGTTTAGGTGTTGTCTGATAGATCACTTCCAGGAAGCCAAGGGTTCTAAAGCCAGTTGTTACAGGCAAGGTGGATGTCCATTAAAAGACAAACAGGAGATGCTGCTGAGAGGTGCTGATAGTGGTTTAAGCTTCTAGGGGAGCGTATCTTGCAAAATCCTGCAATGAAAATTTGGCACCCTGATGGATTCAAACAGCAATCACCTCATTATAGTCTTTGTACTTGGGCTGCATAACCAGGAAAAAGCATTACTAACGTACATGAAACCTACTTCAAAACATCTAATCATGATTTAGAGCTTATATCATTGATGCAGAGAAGAGCCGTGGATAAGTAAGTTTTGAACAAAAATTGATTCTTATGGAGCCTGTCTCCGGCCCTGATGATGTTTGGTTTCGGCCAAAACGTTGAGAGATGAGATAGGTAGTGGCAATATTATTCCTCTTCCTCTTTAGCTTTTTCCCTTTTGTCAATTTCCCGTTTCATGCTTTATTCATATCACAATCCGAAAGTGGCACACTGGCCACATGGATGTCTATGCACTACTAGAGGTGGGTATCAATAAACTTGCTCCTGTTGGAGGTTGTTGTCTCGAAGCCATATTTTACTAGAATTAACGATATGCAAAATTCATAGCAAAAGCTAGCCAACATTGCTAACCAATGAGTTTGAGGACACCCATCTTATGATAAACTTCCAACGCAATTTAAAGACGCTAGAGCCCGACACTTGATCGACAAAAACTAACTATTGCAGACTCGCCTATGACATCTGCCCTAATTGGCTCAGGCGATAACATGCTTTTAAGTTTAACCCTTTGTACCAAAAAAGAAAAGATTGAACCCCAAAGTTGCTCGTGGCATTTATCCAAAAACAAAAATCAACATTAAAGCATCATTGCCGTTTACCAATCATGCAAACATAACATGCATCACTATACATGAGAGGGGAAAGTGGGAAGGGCAGGGTTAGCATCTTGGATTAAATTACCTAGTAATTATAGGAGCCACAAAAGGGATATAAAGAAAACATCAAATACCAAGAACAAAATTGTTTCGCTTCCACTGAGAAGCCCCGGAAAGTATGGGATCACTAATTACTGATCCATGCTTTCCCAAGGCTGGAATGCTGAGGGAGCGTTTTCTCATTTTAACATTGCCAAAAGGTGCCAATCCCCTCTCATTCTTCTCCGTAAGAACCGAAGAGTGAGAGAATAGTGGCTCAGAAAATTGTTCACTTATACTCCTAAGGAAGAAATCCAAATTCTTTTTATATTTATCCCCTCTTGTGCAGGTTGCTTGGTCCCCAGAAAATGGCAATACCTTATCATCAAGGCCTTCATCATCATCTGACCAGTATCCATTCTCCTGAACATCCTGCATTGCCAGGTCATCATACTCTTCATCTGACTTTGTTGAGCCCTCATCAATGGAGCCTACCTGAATTAAAAAAAAGAAGAAAAAATTAGAATAAAATCCACACAACCTGAAAGCAAACTAATAAGACCTATTTTCATCTGGAATTCTAAGATGAAGACAGATTAGAATAAAAATCTATACAAATTAGAAAGTGGAAGTGGAACCTAATGCCATTTCGATCATCAAACATTCATAAAAAGTATCACTGAACCAAGCTTCCAATATGGATAAAACCAAATAGGCCATTTCATAAACCTCTTCCAGATAAGAGGAATAATAAAGAACTAATAAGAACTCCTTTTTGTATTATTGCATGGCAAGTTGCGATGCCATTTGCAAGTTAATCTCTAAAATCAACACGATAATGATATACATATTTCACCTCTAGTAGAAGAATCTAATACATGTTCATACCTCTTCATGGACCTGTTTATCACCATCATCACTAAAATCCTCATCACTGTCCACCTCAGGTGGATCGTCAACTTCTTCATCACTGCCATACACTGAATTTTCCTCCTTTCGCTGTGAGATAGAGAGAAAATCAATAATCTAAGCCCAAAATAAGCACAGCATAACCAAATAAATTGAAAGAAAAATACCACACTACTAGCATTAAAGGGGGCTTCCATTTGCTTATTATTTCATCTAATTTGCTATATATACACATCAAAAATAAAAAGAAAACAAAAAGAAATTTTAAGATGCTACCTCCTTTGCAGGACCATCAGACATCCTTGGTGAGCTGCAGCAAGAGGATTGGTATCTACTGCCATTATCAGTGCCATCACATCTGGACTCATCTACACTTCCAGCACGACTTGTGCCACCATCACTAGGCCAGGCACTAATTCCAAAGTGACCAAATTGAAGATTAACGGGTTCGGCCTTGCCAATTTTTAGAGGTCCATACAAGGGAATGCCTATTTCACCCTCAGTCCCATGACCAAAGATAGGCCTTCCATTACCATCAACTGATTCGACTGGCCAAGCTTTTGCAACAGATCCATCAGTGTTAAGAAGAGCCATCAGTTGCCTGGAAGAACCATTCCTCTGGATCAACTGAAACATTCCCTTGGAGCTCAGTGCTGCAGTACACTGATTCCGGTATTCCTCATCAACTACAGCAACCGTATTTGTTATAGGATCATAAAGTGGCTCCCCAGCTTCACGCCTGCGGAGGCAACTGAAAACTGTCGCATGTATAGCCGCCACACTTCTGTCAACATTTGTGTTGTTTATTTTTGGTACCAAGTGCTTATCAGCCCGTTTGCATAGATAATCTTGTATTGTCCTGATATTCCTTATATACTTCACATACTTATTTTTTGCAGGGTCCAATGTCATGTACTTAGCACGAACTGCAAATCTTTCCAAGTGTTTGTCTTCATTCGTAATGTATATCATGAATGGTATAATTGAGGGGTGTTTCCTCATAAGCCCCATCTGCACACAAAGATCAAAAATCAATATAAGAATAAATGAAGTTTGGGGAAATGAACACATTTGATTGCAGGGAATAAACAAAAAGTTTACTTACAACAAAATTAAGGCTTAAGTGAACACCCTCAACAACTACAGACTCTTTCCTCTCTTCCCATGCAGTAATCAGTCTGTCTAGACTATCAATGACCATCTCACTTTGTGCCTTAAATCCTTCAACTGCCATTTGTTTGGGATTGATCAATTCAGTACTAGTAGAACCACTTTCTATTGGTCGGGCATCAGACTTGCAAGCTGAAGAACCATCACCTAGCTCACCCTTAGGAAGTGATTGAGCAATGCCTGCCATTTTCGTTGCTCTTTTTTTAGCCTTTGCTTCTGCAACTGCCACAGGATCCAAACACTCCCCAGCATGGTAGGTCGATGCCCAGAGTAAAGGATTTTCCTTCTCATTTACAAAACTCCTCATCATGTGGCGAATTGAGTCAGTTGAAATCACAGTTGTAATTCCCAACCTGCTACCCTGCATGACATTATCAAAAGCACTAAGATTAGCTATTTATGGGAATGCAGTTGCAACAGATAGGGCCACACAACATTAATATGCAAAGCAAAGATACCAGCAAAGAAGACAAAGTAGATTTGCCACAACCGCTAGTGCCACACAACAGCACAGTTACAGATTCCTTCCTCTCTCGGATTCTGCAGTGAAGACCAATTCGGTTACAACGAGAGACAAGAAGGTGCTTGCATCTGATTTGAACACCCCAAGTATAGGACACTGAACAAGACAATTCTAAACCCACTATCACGATCCCCTATCAAATCATATATGTGCATTTGCTGCAACTAGGCATTAAAAATCTATACATGTTACATTAAAAGCTTATGGAATACTTGTGATAAGGAACTGTCTTGTTGGCAAAACCACCAAAAAGGGGAAAAAAGAAAATGTAGGTGGACAATTGAACAATCATCTATGGAGAAAATCATGCTTGAATAGAATATCTCTCGAAATATATTCTATAAAATAGAAGAAATAAAGAAGCGTGAATTACCAATCTCCAAGCTACCACAATCACCACTAAAAATTACCAACAAAAGACAAAAATTTAAAGGAATATATGCAGATTCTCCATGCATGCAATTAATTATACAACATGTATAATTGCAATTCTTTTTTTGTAGGTATAAGATGTTATACAATACCTGCATGCCAAAACCAAGTCAGCCCTCTGGTTTGGACCCACATACTTATATTCAGCAAGAGCATCACAGACAACATCTAAGAAAGTCTCTCTTTTTACAGAAACAGATGTACGTCTTTTATACAATTCAAATGGTATACTTTTATTTTCATCATCTTTGTCTGAAACTAAACAGCTGCCTGCCTCTGCTCTACGAAAGTCACCATTGGTAGGACGAACATCTTCCCTCTCAGTGTTTCCTTTTAAACCACAAGAATTCAGTATCTCAATTCCATCTTGAAGTAGAGAGTTGTAAGAAGGTTCGCTTCTAATCAATTCAAAAACCCTCTGGCTAATCTGGTAAGAAATACAAAGAGGACATTCAGAAAAAAGGATCCACTTGCCATAACCATTAAAGACACATGAAAGAAAACCAATCATGGAAAATTAGAAAATTAAAGAAGAAATAACATATCACAACCAACACCCTAAAATTATTAACAAGTTAACTAATATAAAGTCAAAAGAGATCGGGCAACAAAGAATCTGACCAATACACAAGAATTTTATATAGACATCTGATTGAGGAAACGACAGTCCCAAACTCGATATGCATCTTACACAAGTCAATTAATCTAGGTATCAACCTCTCCCTAAACAAGATAAGCAGAAAGTAAATTTCTGACTGAAACTTAAACCGATAATGTGCACAATATGAGGCAATCCACGATGTAGAACAGCATCCACAATGCAGAGGGTCAACAAAAATGGAAACAGATCATTACCAATTTCATCTTCTTCGATCTCAATCATTTCCAAAAGTCTGAAACCTTTTACAGAAACAAAGTGGAACCTAAAAACTACACAATTGATCACTTTTAAAGGGAATGAGAAGATAAATATTCAGTCAAAACTCTATGACAACGAAAGAATGTGGTTTTTTTCTCAACTGAGAAGAAAAAAAAAAGTACTATCAAATTGTTAAAATTCGTATTGTTTTGACTCAGCATTAAAGCACAAAATCATGTAAAATTGAAACCTAGGAATTTTATAGAATACGTTATAAGAAATCAAGATCCATCACCACATCATCTACATTTTCGATTTACTATATCATAATTACAATTTATCGATCAAACAAAAATATAACAGAAAGAAACAAAGATCAAACGGAAATCGACATTAAATCGTAAATCCATAATTAAACAAATCATCCAAATTGCTTTACAAAATGAATTCGATTAAATTAAAAAAAAAAAAAGGAAAACCTTAAAGGCATGACGGGCTTTGCAGCCCATGAGTTGGAGGGTGCTCTGAAGAACGGGACGCGTGTACCGAAACGACGACGTCTCCTTCTCCCTCTTCTCGCCTTCGTCCACCACAACTAAATACAGAACCTTGGCTAGCTCTCCCATCTCTCTCTGCGCACCAAAAAACACAAATTCCTATTCAAAACATCAGCGTTTTGAAACAAGGCAATGTACGAGAATCAATGAAGACCACTTGATGAATCCGAAATCAAACCTTAAAATATTTACAACGAAATCGGACGGGAAGAAAAAAAATCAAGAAAAAGTGACCGAACGGGAAAGACAGATTGTTAGGATTTGGTTTTTCTATAGATCATGAAATGCGAGCAACGCCATTTTGTTGAAGAAGAGAAGAAAAGCAGAGGGAAAGGATCACTAGCCATTTCTTGGTCGGGCCACTACCATAACGCGTATCATGCAATCAAAGCTTCCACGGGTCCTTTCTTTTTTAACCTTTCCTTTCATTGCCTTCTTCTCTCTCTCTTCCCTCTCTCTCTCCTTTATGCAAAAACGCAATTGCGGGGGGAATCTAAAAGACAGATATCGCCTCTTGTTGGCAAGGAATTACGTAGTTACGGGACTTTTGTTTGGGGACGCTCGGGTGGCAGAACGAATAAGTCGGATATGAATGAATTTATATTTGTGATTTATTTTATTATTTTTGAAGGTATTTGATTTGATTCATGTTTCATAAAAAATTATTTTATTTATTTAAGTTTGATTTGTTTAAATTATAAGATATTTGTATTTAATTTATTTTTTATGTAATTAAATTAAAAGAATTTATTTATAAATGTTAAATAAATATATTTATAAATATAAAAATAAATGAATAAATTTATGAATATTAAATAATCATAATTAATCAATTAAATAAATAAATTTTAAATAAATATAAATAAATTTAAACGAACATAAAATAATACTAAAATAATATTAAAATAAAAATATAATAATAATAATAATAATTATTATTATTATTATTATTATTATTATTATTGACCAATAAATGAATTTTTAAAAAAATGAGTTTTAAATGATCAATAAAAGAATTTATTGATAAATATAAATAAATTAAACATATATTTATTTGTATTCTATTCATTTAATAAACAAATTTAAAAATATTATTTAAGATTATTTGTGAAATTTAATAATTGAATATAAATTAACAAAAATTAAATATATTTGTAAACAAGTTATTAAAACTTTTGTTGATTGACACTTCAAAGTATAGGAAAAAGATAAAAGCATATCAATTATAATTATTATAATATAATTAATTATAGTTTAATATTATATTAAGTTCAAAAAAATTTATATAAAATTTACAATGAATTTTATATAATTGTTTATTATAATTAATTAATTATAATATTACATTAAAAAAATTAAAAAAAATGATAGATGATATAACATCAGATAAAAGCAGGAGTGGCAACAGAAGTAATTTTAAAATAAGAAGAGGGTGAAACAATGAACAATCCATGCCGTCCTTGTTGTGTAATTAAGGAAAAGAGAAAGGAGGACAGAGAAAAGGACTTGTCACATAAATACATTTTTTTGTTTTTTTTTATAATTTTTTAAAATTTTGTCCAGTATTTTTTTTATCCAGTACAGCGGCAGTGTAAAGCGGTATTATGCACCGGCGTAGCTCATATAATAAATATCCTAATAAAGTTACTAGCTTAATTCTCTTAATTTTGTTTTTCTTGTAAAAATAAAAAGAAGTAATTGTATATTTAATCCGAATGAATTATTTAATTTTTTAATGTGCATTTCTGCAAAGCTAAGGTTTGATTTTCAATGTTTACCATTTTCTTTCTCTAATTTTCTTAAATTATGGTCTTTTGTATTAAAAATATAAAATAATTACCAATTAACAATAATTAATCCTTTTAATTATGTAATTGACTTTTAACTCGCTCTTAAATGTTTTTTAATTAGTGAAAGGTTATACAAAAGGAAATGTGAAAAATCGAGTTAGATTCTTGTTTTTATTAAAATAATTAATTAATAATAATAAATTTTCTTCCCTTTTGAAATAATAACGTTTGAATCGTCTTATCATAAAATTATTTTATTCATAATTTTTTATTATAATTTTATAATTATTTATTTATAATAAAAAATTATATAAAAATTAATCACTAATAAATAGAAATTTCTTATAAAAATTTAATAAATTTTATATAATTTTAAATTTTGATTAATTAATTATATTACAATAATTATATGTGATATGTGATAACTTTTAAAATAAATTATCGTTTATTGTCAAAAGTTTGGACTTATTTTATTTTTAATTTTTTTAAAGTTATGATTGTATTAAAAAATTAAAATATTTATAAAAATACTAAACGATGCGTTTGAAAAAAAAAAAACTAAAAAAAATTGGTAACTGTGGCTTGGGCGCGTCACACAAGTTTCATATATGGAAATTAAAATTAGGTAACACTTAAATGCTGATCAAAATATCCAATTCAACCACTTTCTTTGGGTTTGGGTCATCATTTACTCGAGATTGCTAAATCTTTGTAGAATTTGAGTAAATCAACTAATCTTTCGACAAATCGTTTTACAAATAATTAATTCAATTGGATATTGTCCACACACTTTGACAATGACCCGCCACCTTGTTTTTTTGCTTTTGCTATTAATTTCTTTTTTTTTTTTCTTTTTTAATGAAATTTTGGAGATGACTTTGAAATGGTCGATATATGAACCGTTGTGTATATAAGAGATATCAAAGTTATTTCAATTGCCAAGTTTGTTTTGTTATTTATAGTATATTATAATTTTAATTTCATATATATATATATATTTTATTATGAGATTTGAAAAAACAAATTTAAATTTTATTATAAATAAAATATTATATAAATTACAACATCAATTTGTTAGTAGATTTAAGAAAAACAAAAATAATAAGAAAGAAGGAAATATGGCTTTGAGACGTGAATAACATTGTCTTAAAGGTAATAATGTCTATAGAATATAACAAAATCTTAAAATTCTCTAAATCAGAAGTAGTGAAATTGATCAGGCAAAAAGATCTATTTATAATAAATGAACAGTCATTAATCAAACCAATTCAAAAAGTCATGACATTTTATATAGTTATATTTTGTTGTTTAAATAAACTTTATTTAAACAATCATGTCTTTTACTGTTCAAGCATATTTATTCAGAATCAATAATATTTTGAAATAAATAATAATAATAATAATAATAATAATAATAATAAAGATTTAAAATTAAATCTATTTGTCAAACAAGCCCCAAGTGCCTATCTTTGATTTTTAAAATTGTCCAACCCACTAAAAAAACTCCTAGCAAGCCCAAATGACTTAGCTCACCCCAACACTTAGCTCAATTACTTAAATAATGTAAGTAATTTCTTTTAAACCATTTATAAGTGATCTTTCTACTCAATGTAAGATACACCACATTCTACACTACCAACAATCTCCACTAGTTTGGAAATGTTGATGCTTAATCGTTAACCTTTCACACAAATAAATATTATGAATACAATAAAGTATCTTTCGATTTAAACCTTCAATTAGCGTATATAACTTAGAATTCTAACAAAGTTGATGGTATCCGCAGATTAAACCTCAACTCCTAATGTTAAAATTGAAAATATAACACACATAATATTTATTTAATATTCTGTCAGAGGTTTATAATCGCTTTAGCACTATTATGGCCATGTGCTTATCCTTATTCATAAACATTTACATGAAAGTTTTAATTTTCTTGTTCAAGCAGCACCACTTTTATGTTTATATAGGTAGAGTTTCTTATTTATGTCTCCATTGTTATAGACATTTAATTGTTAACTCTATTAAGAGTTCAATCTCATCCTCCATTTACGCAATGGCTTACACTAGTATTCCAAATATATAGAATGGGTTGACTAGTGTTTATAGACACATGACAATAATTTGTTATTACCTATTAAACTTTGCAATTAGAGGTTACTAATTCAAAGTTAGGTTCCTATTATTGGTGTTTAAAAGGAATTTTAAACCTATTCCACTTGTGGTGCTTCTTACCAAATTTTTAGGTAATGCCTTGGTAAGAGGATTTGTTAAGTTTTTAGCAAATTTAACATATATGATGGTAATTACCCCATTTTTTATTAATTCTCTGATATAATCATGTCTTAGACTAATATGTCTAGATTTTCATTATAAATTTCACTATAAGCTCTAAACATAGTAGCTTCATTATCACAGTACAAGGAAATGGCTGTCATTGGTTGTGGCCACAACTCTATATTCATTAATAAATTTCTTAGCCATTCAGCTTTTTTACTTGCTACAGCTAAAGCTATAAATTCAGATTCTATAGTTGAATGTGAAATGCAAGTTTGTTTATTGGATGCCCAACTAATTGCACCACTTCCAAGGGTAAACATCCATCCTGAAGTGAATTTATTGTCACTTATACTAGTGATCCAACTTGCATCTGAATATCTTTCCAAAACAGCCGGATCTCCGGAATAAAATAAGCCAAAATCTTTAGTTCTTTTAAGATAACTTAGAACTCTTCTTATGGTTTTTTAATGACTTATACTAGGCTTACTTGTATATCTCGATAACTTATAAATAGCAAAAGCTATATCTGGCCTAGTACAATGCATAGCATACATAATACTTCCAATAGCACTAGCATATTCAAGTTGTGCAATTACATTATCTTGATTTTCTGTTAATTTTATACTTGTATCATATAGAGTATTGGTTTCTTTTATATTGAGATATTTAAACTTATTAAGTAGTTTCTCAATATAATAACTTTGATTAAGAATGAAACCCTTATTATATCTCTTAACTTTAATTCTCAAAATGATATCAACTTCATTTAAATCTTTCATTTTAAAATTAAAAATCAGAGACATTTTGGTTTCATTCATGCAAATCATATTAGTACCAAAAATTAGCATATCATCCACATAGAGACATATTATAACTCCATATTCTTTAGTAAATTTTGAGTAAATACACTTATCTGCTCCATTATGTTTAAAACCATTGGCTATTATGATTGAATTAAACTTTTCATACCATTACCATTGTTTAGGAGCTTGCTTTAGCCTATAAAGTAACTTAATTACAAACTTTATTCTCATTACCTAAAAGAATAAAACCTTCTGGTTGTTTCATGTATATTTCTTCCTTTAAGTCACCATTTAACAAGGCTGTTTTAACATCCATTTGATGCATATGCAGTTTATGAATTTAAGCCAAAGCTATAAAAACTCTAATGGATGTTACTCTAGCTACTGGAGCATATGTATCAAAATAATTTGTGCCTTCCTTTTGTTTAAAACCTTTTGCAACTAATCTTGCTTTAAAGGTTTGTATAGAACCATCTGTACTATATTTTTTTCTAAACACCTATTTACATCTTATAGGTTTAGAATCTGAAGGTAAATCTATCAAGACCCATGTATTATTGGACATGATTAAGTCCATTTCATTATTAATAGCTTTTTTCTAAAAAGCAACATCTCTTGAAGTTATAGCTTCATTAAATATTTTAGGGTCTTCATCTACATTTAGTAGAATTGGTATTTTCTTAAGCACGTTGGTTCTATTCCCTTCTACTATGA